ATAGGTCCTCTCCCTAGATAACAAAATGATATTTACACAAACATATATTGCAGGATAGCTATTTCATGTAAATTATTAAGTAAGAATATTGCAAGATTTAGTTTAAACATTAAAAAAAGAAAAAAAAAGAAAAAGGAATAAGAAATGCAACTAAATAAGACAATTTTCAGATAAGTACTAGGCAAAAGAAAAACGGACAAAAATAAGTATTTTTATATTTAAACTGGCACTTAAAGCACATTTTAGCAAGCAACTAGAAATTAACGTTTTCAAGCTAACCAGAAAAATATTTTATAATATATATATATTAAAAGAAGTGAAAAAAAATATTTGAAAGGTACTTTACATGTTGTCACGTGGTATTGAATAGATACGGTTTATAACTTAGCAAATTTATTTAGAAATGATTTATTGGATGCATATCCTATAGACTATAAGACTATTACAATGTTCATTATATTCACTGTTGTAGACACTTTATTAGTGAAAAAAAATCATGATTCATACTTATTAGAGCTGATTCTCCATATTTTATAAACTGATACATTAATTATTCTCTTTCATTTGAATACCAACCGTGACAAAATGTTTTATATGTATTACTAGTTGATGTATAACGAGATACATGTAAATGTATAAGTTAAATAAAAATTTCTATTTCTTCTTCTTACCATATGTTGGTACAAAAATATGTCTTTTATACATTCTAAGAACACCGATTCTACTGACATTTCATTCGATAGACACAACATAATTATTGTCCCAGTCTAAAGTCACCAACAGTTATAAAATGGGAACATTTCAATTTACACATTTCATTCATCATATCAAACATTTTATGTACATTTGCTACCTCACAGTTTGGACTCCTATAAATACACCCGAAAAGGATCCAGTCATTTATAAAAATCCAAAGTGTTTCCTTGAAGTCGTTAACATTATATAATTTTGATGCACGCAGTTCTTTTTAGTATATATAATTATATCCCTGTTGTTATTTCCGCCAACAAATGCATCATATCCCGAAATTATGCAGATCAATTCATTTGTATAGTCAATACTTAATTTTTTTTTTATATAATTCTGTAACACATATAAAGACGAAATAGTTTTCGTTAATAAGTGCTTCCAATTCCTGTTGTTTCTTTTGTGAGGCAGTCTGCATTTTTGTATAATTAATGTATATAACTTTTCTCTAATGACTTTTTGAAAATAACTTGAATTGGAACTGTTTAAAGTATGTGTATTCCTATGGTAAAAAGAATTTGTACAATTAAAAACGTTTCCCCTATTAAGGTCGGGGTTAAAGTACTCTATGTTCACATAGCTGCTCTCTGACTGTGTATTTCTCTGACTTAAATTTTCCATAGTTAGATTAGATCATTTTGGTCTTCGTTACAGTTATATTGAATGTTGTTAAAGGTATTTTGGCTGAACGAATCGTGTATGCATTGGCTAAACCCTGTTATTTCTTGTGAGTTCCAGTTCGATTGGAAAAAATAATCACATTTATCATAAGGAATGGGTTTGATATTCTGACCCATGGTGACACTGAGAACTGACCTGAAATGCGTCTCGGATTGTTAGTAAAGAAAAATAGTCCAGCCAGGAAGGTGAGACTTGGAATGTATTCTTGTCAAAGTTAAAATTTTAATAGCGAAAGAAGAAAACAAAATGATAAAATGGTTAAAAACACCGGGAGCAGGTCTAATATTTAATACTGCAATCCTACCACTGCATGCATGCAGTTGGGCAGCTAGGGATTTAATGCTATGAGAGAAGAAATTAAGGCGGAGGAAACCCTGTTTTTGACGTAGGGATATCTATCTTCCATATAGTCAAACCCCTGCTGGGGACCTAGACTTGACGCGCGTCAACTGACAAGAATGTTAGTAAAAGAACTGAAATAAAAGAATATAAAAGTAATGGAAATGAGTAAATTGTTAAAAACAGGTTAAAAATAGAGAAGGTATTTTAGGGAGACGTATGTTCAATCCGGCTAACAGCCAGACTGAACTCGGGGCCAGACAAGTTCATGATATCAGGTGGTAAAGCATTCCAGTGGACTATTGTTCTTGGGAAAAATGAATATTTATAGTAGTCAGTTTTAGTTTGGACTTGTTGGAATGCATGGGGATGGGATGTTCTTGATGATCTTGTAAGAGGGACGATATAATTTGGGAAAGGGATAGCCACCTGGTCATGCAAGATGTTGTGAAACATGACCAGGCGTTGGTCAATACGCCGAAGGTCAAGGCGCCTCCATTGAAGGGAAGTCAACATGTCAGTGACACTCGACATACGGCCAAAGTCATGTTTGACCCACCTAGCAGCCCTTCTCTGGACAGACTCTATCTGGTCAATGAGAGTTCCTGTGTAGGGGGACCAGACCGTGGAGCTATACTCGAGCTGGGGCCTAACAAGTGTCTTGTATGCAGTTGACTTTAACCTTTCTGAGTGAACCTTGATATTTCGGCGTAGAAAACCAAGTGTTTGATTTGCCTTTGTTGTGATGTTGTTTATGTGTTTGTTCCATGTTAGATCATTTGATATTGTAATACCAAGGTATTTTGCAGATGAGACTGTTTCTAATGTGGTGTTATGTAGAAGGTATTGTGTTGGAATGACTGTTTTTCGTTTTGTGATTTGGATAACTGTGCATTTTGATGGATTAAATTGCATGTCCCATTTTGTCTCCCATTGTTCAAGTTGGTGTAAGTCGTGTTGCAGTAAGCTAGAATGAGAAGCGACAGTCAGAGATAGATAGATGGCCGTGTCATCAGCAAATAGGCGGACTTTAGAGGATTGGACATATTCAGGAAGGTCATTGATGTATATAAGAAATAAGAGAGGTCCGAGGACCGAGCCCTGGGGAACACCGGAGGAGACTGGTGTGGAGCTGGATGTGGAGCCATTTACCACCACGGACTGTGACCTGTTATCAAGAAAACCTTTGATCCATTTAAGAGTTTGACCCCTTATACCGTAGAAATGCAGCTTATACAGGAGTTTTTCATGGTTGACCATATCAAAGGCCTTAGAGAAGTCAAGAAGGATTAAGTCTACTTGGCTTCTCTGATTTACTGACTGTAGGATATCATCTATAAGCATTAATAGTTGGGATTGACATGACCTTTTTTCTCGGAAACCATGCTGCAATTCATAGAACAAGTTTGATCTAGTAAAGTGCTTTGTTATGCTGGAGGAGACAATGTGTTCCAGGGTTTTACACAAGATACAGGTAAGAGAGATAGGGCGATAGTTTGCTGGGTCTGACTTGCTACCTTTTTTAAAGACAGGGGCCACATTCGCCATTTTCCAGATGTCTGGTAGAGTGCTGGACTGCAGTGATTTTTGGAAAAGTTTGGACACTATAGGGGCTAATTCTTTACTGGTATTTTTCAGCACTATGGGTCTAATTTGGTCAGGTCCTGCAGCCTTATGGGGGTTAAGGTTTTTTAAGAGCTTCTCAACACCTTTTACAGAGATATCAATATCACACATGGGGTTATGGGGGCTAAATGATGTGTGGGGAACCTCTCTACCTGTATCTGCCTGATCCTGTACTTTCATATCAGCAAGGAGGGATTTAGATGTGAAGACTGATTGAAATTGTTCATTTAGTACTGTTGCCTTGTCTTGATCTGATGTATACAGTTTATTGTGTTTTTTTCAGTGAGTCAATGCCAAAAGAGTCTTGTTTTGAGTGTTTTAATAGTGAATATAGCTTTTTGGTGTTTGGTCTGGTTTGTGTTTGTTCATGTTCTTCAGAGATGTTGTTGTTAATGTTTAGTATATCTTCCAAGTAATTTTGATAGGCTAACTTAGTTTCTTTTCTGCAGAGATGTTTAATGCTGAGATATTTTTCTCTAGATTTATTTGAGTTATGGCCCTTGTACTGCTTGTAGGCTTTGTCCCTTTTCCTATATAGACGTTTGAGGTTGACCTTGATCCAGGGGAGTTTATTTTTGGAGGATGACCATTTTGATGGGATGAAAGTATTGACCCCTTCCTCAATTGAGCTGGAGATTGTTTGCCATAACTCTTCCACTGATTTGTTGGAGTAACTTTTTGACCTGGCAAGAGAATCATGAAGGTTGGACATATGTAACCTAAGACCGTCCCAGTCTGCCTTATTATATAGGTGGATTTTACGTGGTTTTTGGAGCTTTATACGGGCGGAGGTATTTGTGTCGACCAGGACAGCATCGTGATCACTGATACCTGGGATTACATTGGCTCTGTTTACAATGGAGGGGTTACTTGTCAAGAACAGATCTAAGATATGGTTTTCTCGGGTTGGGTCTTTGACTAATTGGGTAAGGTTATTATCAAAAAGAATGTTAATAAAATCTCTATAATGTGATTGAAGTTTGCAGTCCGGGGTTGGAGTAACATTTGACCAATCAAGTTTTGGCATGTTGAAGTCCCCGCCTACCCATACTGTTGCATTTGACTTGGTAGCCATGGATAGAGATTTATTGAACTCATCCAGGCTATATGGGTCATTTTCTTTAGGTTTGTAGTAAGAACCTACAAGCAGTGGTTTGGAACCTTGCATTTCAATTTAGACCCATAGATTTTCACATTCAGTTTGGAGGGCTAAGGGAGGGATAAGGAGGGCATATGTCTGGTTAACCTATCCAGGGCTCGGACATATGGTGGGAGATAAATTCTAAAAAAATCTGTTTTCTCTTTCTTTACTATTTTTCCATACTTGATTTTTGTAATGTTTTAAAATTTTATGTTTTTTAATGTCTTGAACAAAACACAAAAAAAAATTTTTGGCAGGCGTAATTAGGAAAAAATATGCATCGGCCGGGAATCGAACCCGGGCCGCCCGCGTGGCAGGCGAGCATTCTACCACTGAACCACCGATGCTTACATACAACTAGGAAAAAAAATATTATATAAAGGTAATATGTTATTATTCAATTAAGCTGGTTCTTCAGCTTCTTGCGCTTCGTTGTTTCTGTTAGGTACCAACCCTATTCGGTTACATTCTGACTTTAACGTGTAGCGTCCGCCATATTGATACACAGAGTAACCATAATTCGATTATAGTTTCATTTACTGATATATCTGCATTGCATAATGTTATAACCTTGCAAATGGTCGTGAGAGGTAATGAAATAAATACAACTCGTTAGAAACATTGCTTGCAATCAATTTCTTTGCGAATCACTTATTTGTCTTACGACTAAATTATCTCGTCACGCCTGAGTTGTTCATAATTGACATATAAAAAAAACTTTTTTTGTTTTGCTTTTTTCGGTATTTTTCATTTTTAGGCATGTATATTAAAGACTCAGTCACCAGTGTATTTCATTATTTGTGTAGATAAATTCATTATTATACATGTTCGAAGTTGGTATGAAGGGAGGTAACTGCTGTCAAATAATTGCCCTGATCATGAATATAAATTATTTACGTTCCACATAAACCCTGGTTTGTATTGACTTTAATAAAGCCGGGTCAGGTTCAAAATCTTACAAGTAACTTATGAAATAACCTAAAAATATGATTCACCAGTGTGCTGACTTGATACCTAGAGTTTAAGGATTTCCACTGCTACCATTATTTGATCATCGCAGGGCTCATTAGATTGTACTGACTCTCCTAGTTCTGGCTTCCAAAACTTTATAAGCCGCTATTTAACATTTTAGTTTTTCATCTGATGTGGCATTTAAGTTTTGGATTAGACCCGTTACGAAACCTTATTGTAATAACATATGTTGATTTATTCTTATTTTTCACTTGCAACTTTATACACTTGACACAATCAATTTCTGTGCATTTTACGATAAAACAATCATTTTAATATCATTCTACACCAATAAAAGTATCAAAATATTAATACCATCATTAAAATTGCTTATTTAACTGTAAAACATCAATTATGCCGACTACAGTCGGCCATGACATTTAGGTGCCACGCGAGACCTCGTATGACGTCATTCGCGGGAACCGATTAGAATAGAGTCCTGTACTACATGTATATTTAGAACATCTTTGTTGACATGATTTCGCTATTTTTATTCAAGCTGGGATGTATCGTATGCAGGGCTCACGCTGTCGGTCGCCATAGTCGCCATTTGCGATTATTTTATAAGATTGGCGATTATTTTTGCATTTTGGCTACAAAATCTGGCGATTATTTTTTACTTCCAACAGTGTTTATATAAGGTGTTAAATCGATAATGAATGCAGTAGAACCCAATTAACACCAGCGGGGTGTATTTATTTAATCGAGTGTCAACTTTTTACCGGTCACGTGCTGCCAACTATATTGCCCGAGGTGATAAAATACATGCGAGATGTATAATTGTATAAGTACTGTAAAGATAATGTCCAGCATTTATAATAGCCATCAAATATCCGTCAATTAGCCACAAAAATCGTTTTAAAATTGATAAACTTGATATTGACTTACCCAAAATTTACCGTGAATTGCAGTAATTGCAAATTTTGATTTTTTTTTGTTTCAAGCTACTTGACTAAATCGCCAGTGGAAAACAATGGTAAAATATTTAAAAAGTATTAACTTTCAAACTACTATTTGCACAACAACCAAAATTGTGAATATTTCTTCAGAAAACAGGAAAAATCCGATTGTCACATATTTTCGCGACACCGATAATTTTGATATTTATTTAAAGGTGAAATCAGCTATGTTCTGTTTAAAAATCTTTACTACTATGGCAGAAAATTTGTATTACATTGGTGATGATGATATTTTTCAGTAAATTATTCAGAAAAAAGGCTGCATTCTGTGAATAAGTTTGCAAACTTTTGTTATTTCTATAGGCTAATATGACCTAGATCTACTCCAGTTCTGTGAAATGTGGAAATTTACAGTTGTTATAGCTGACAAAATTTGATAAGAACAAACAAACAAAAATTGTCTGATAACAGCATTATGTAAAGTTGTAATGAATCTTTAATATTATTGTTATACAGTAATTATACTACTTATAACGTTTTTATTCTGTTCTATAATAACAATTAAAGTTGTGGTTCTTTTAAAAAAAGGTAGTTATCAATATACACAAATGTATCAGTTTTTTTGAGAATCCTATAAAACTGAAAGATATAAATGTAATGTTTATTTAATCAACTGCTTATGTTGTTAATCGCTAATTCGTGAATAGTCCGCTGAACTTTTGGCTATTATTTTTTTAAGTTGAAATTATTGGCTATTATTTTATTTGAGCCAGTGTGAGCCCTGCGTATGTTCCAGATTCAAGATAATGTTTTTATTTATTTTCATTAATTTTTTAGTACTTAAATATGATTTTATTGAATACAAAAGTCAGTAAATCACCTTTTTCAGTATCTTTAAAAAAAAGTAATTTATAAAAATATTTGAAACACATGGGTTCATAAAGGTAAATCTCGTAATCACGTGGTCAAACATTTTGGCAATATGGCGGCCAAGGTATTTTCTGTTCGCAATAAGATTTTTATTTGTCCATCCTTGCCTTATCAACAGATTATATATAGTTTTATCAAGGTATGCTTCACTTTACTTCATGGCATGTTCCATGAATAAATACGAGCGTTTTAGATTCCTGGCACGATTATTGGTGGATTGATGGGGTTGTCTTCAGCGTTCACGTCATGTCATAGTTTATAAACGGGTATGCTGAAGACCTTAGGCTATGACTCTCCTGAATTTTAGCACAATTCTCAAGCTCTTGAATCCTTATGCCAATGGATGCATAAAAAATATAATGCTGGCTTCACAAATCTTGCTTAACATCATAAAAAGTATTTTTTTTTTTTTTTTAAATTTGCAGTACAAAAACGTTTTGTTATATATAAGGTATAATAATTAATAAGCTAACACTTGTTTATTAAACAGGCTGGTGAAAATGCCCAATCGGGCATAACATTCTAGAAAAGTTATAAATATATTTCTTTTAAACTTTGTTTGAATATTGAGAATAATATTTGACATAAACTGAAAGAAAAATATTGGTTACTGTTACTTTTGTGAGAATTATTTCCCCTTTTTCATGTTTTCGTAACACATAATTATACCCCCAAAAACGAAGTTTGGGGGGGGTATATAGGAGTCACCGGTGGTCGGTTGGTCGGTCGGTCGGTCCAGACTTCCGTTGCATTTTCCTTGTCCGGAGCATAACTTGAAGACTAATGGATGGAATTCAATATAACTACATACAGTGGTCAAGCACATTGAGAGGAAGTGCAGTGCACAAGAACCATGACTCTATCTTGACTAATAACAGACTTATTGCCCTTTGTTACTTTTCCTTGTCCGGGGCATAACTTGAAAACTACTGGTTGGAATTAGAAACAACTTCACACAATTGTCAAACACAATAAGGGGAAGTGCAGTGCACAAGAACCATAACTCTATCTAAAGTAATTACAGAGTTATTGCCCTTTGTTACTTTTCCATTGCTTTCTTTTGTTCGGACCATAACTTGAAGACTAATTGTTGGAATTCATTATAACTTCATACAATGGTCAAGCACATTGAGAGAAAGTGCAATGCACAAGAACCATAACTCTATCTTGACTAATTACAGAGTTATTGCCCTTTGTTACTTTTCCTGGTCCGGGGCATAACTTGAAAACTGCTGGTTGGAATTAAAAACAACTTCATACAATTGTCAAACACAATAAGGGGAAGTGCAGTGCACAAGAACCATAACTCTATCTAAAGTAATTACAGAGTTATTGCCCTTTGTTACTTTTCCATTGCTTTCTTTTGTCCGGACCATAACTTAAAGACTAATTGTTGGAATTCATTATAACTTCATACAATGGTCAAGCACATTGAAAGAAAGTGCAATGCACAAGAACCATAACTCTATCTTGACTAATTACAGAGTTATTGCCCTTTGTTACTTTTCCTGGTCTGGGGCATAACTTGAAAACTGCTGGTTGGAATTAAAAACAACTTCATACAATTGTCAAACACAATAAGGGGAAGTGCGGTGCACAAGAACCATAACTCTATCTAAAGTAATTACAGAGTTATTGCCCTTTGTTACTTTTCCATTGCTTTCTTTTGTCCGGACCATAACTTAAAGACTAATTGTTGGAATTCATTATAACTTCATACAACGGTCAAGCACATTGAGAGGAAGTGCAGTGCTCAAGAACCATAACTTCATCTTGACTTATTACAGAGTTACTGCCCTTTGTTACTTTTCCTTGTCCAGAGCATGACATGGAAACTACTGGTTGGAATTCAAAACAACTTCATACAATTGTCAAGCACAATTAGGGGAAGTGCAGTGCACAAGAACCATAACTCAATCTTGACTAATTACAGAGTAATTGCCCTTTGTTACTTTTCCATTGCTTTTTTTTGTCCGGAGCATAACGGTTGGAATTCAATATAACTTCATACAATGGTCGAGCACATTGAGAGGAAGTGCAGTGCACAAGAACCATAACTCTATCTTGACTAATTACAGAGTTATTGCCCTTTGTTACTTTCCTTGTCCAGAGCATAACTTGAAAACTACTGGTTGGAATTCAATACAACTTCATACAGTTGTCAAGGACATTAAAAGGAAGTGCAGTGCACAAGAGCCATAACTCCATTTTTACAAAATACAGAGTTACTGCCCTTTGATACTTTTCCTTGTCCGGAGCATAACTTAAAACGTACTGGTTGGAATTCGAAACAACTTCATACAATGGTCAAGCACAATAAGAGGAAGTGCAGTGCACAAGAACTATAACTCCATCTTCAGTATTTATAGAGTTATTGCCCTTTGTTCCTTTTCCTTCTCTTTCTGGACTTATTACAGAGTAATTCAATAAAACTTCATCAATGGCCAACCACATTGAAAGGAAATGCAACATACAAGAACCACAACTATCTTTAATTGCCCACAACCATAACTCTATATTTCAATTCTTGTTACTAGTAACATCCTGATTTCCGAAGCAGTCTTGTGGGGGTATTAATCACATTTAGTGATAGTTCTAGTTTTTGAAGTCCTTAAAATATATGTTACATATGCGAAGTGTAAAACAAAGTAGGTTAAATAACTTCTTTATGCTCTAATTCATTGCGCCAACACCTGTCAGCATACATTTCATTCAGTTTTCAGAGAAAACTTCAAAGTATAATGTTCAGTGTCAAAGCATTGTCAAACTATAAATGCCAGAAACAGAATATTTAATCCAAATATATAGAATAAAGATACTGGCGCAATAATCTAGAGCAAAATGAAGTTGTTAGACACATTTCTATTAAGAATTTTTCATTACAACATAATTTTTATGAACTTCAGATATTTTGTTTCCAGAAAATGGGAAAAAGGGAAATAATTCTAAGAAAATAAAAGATAACCTTTGATTTGTATCATATGTAAATGCTTAATAAACAAAACAAGTGAGAATGAAACATATTAATTATTAGCTCACCTGAGCGTATGCTCAGGGTGAGCTATTAGGATCACTCTTCGTCCGTCGTCTGTCGTCCGTTGTCTGTTCATACTTTTAAAACGACATCTCCTCTGAAACCATAAGGCAGATCATAATGAAACTTCACAGGGATGTTCCTTGTGTGAAGACTTAACAAAGTTGTTCAAAGAATTCCATTCCATGCAGAACTCTGGTTGCCATGGCAACCAAAAGAAAAAACTTTAAATATCTTCTTCTAAAAAACCCAAAGAGCTAGAGCTTAGATATTTGGCATGAAACATCTTCTAGTGAGTATCTACCAAGTTTGTTCAAATAAAAGCCCTTGGGTCAAAATTGGCCCGCCCCAGGGGGTCATTGATTTTCCCTATATGCATATAGTAATAACTTAAAAAATCTTCTTTTAAAGAACCAAAAGAGCTAGAGCTAAGAAATTTAGCATGAAACATCTTCTAGTGGGTGTCTAACAAGTTTGTTTAAATAAAAGCCCTGGGGTCAAAATTGGCCCCGCCCCGGGGGTCATTGATTTTCCCTATATGCATATAGTAAAAACTTAAAAAATCTTCTTTTAAAGAACCCAAAGAGCTAGAGCTAAGATATTAAGCATGAAACATGTTCTAATAGATGTCTACCAAGTTTGTTCAAATAAGAGCCCTGGGGTCAAAAATGGCCCCGCCCGGGGGTCATTGATTTTCCTTATATGTGTATAGCAAAAACTTAAAAAATCTTCTTTGAAAAAAAACAAATAGCTAGAGTTTAGATACTAAGCATGAAACATCTTCTAGTGAGTGTCGACCAAGTTTGTTCATATAAAAGCCTTGGGGTCAAAATTGGCCCGGCCCGGGGGTCATTCATTTTCCTTATATATATGTGTAAAACAAAAACTTAAAAAATCTTCTTTGAAAAAACTCAAATAGCTAGAGTTTAGATATTAAGCACGAAGCATCTTCTAGTGAGTGTCTACTAAGTCTGTTCAAATAAAAGCCCTGGGGTCAAAATTGGCCCCGCCCCAGGGGACATTGATTTTCCTTATATGTGTATAGCAAAAACTTAAAAATCTTCTTTTTGAAAACCCAAATAGCTAGAGTTTAGATATTTAGCATGAAACATCTTCTAGTAAGTGTCTACAAAGTTTGTTCAAATAAAAGCCCTGGGGTCAAAATTGGCCCCACCCCAGGGGTCATTGATTTTTTCTTATATGTGTATAGCAAAAACTTTAAAATCTTCTTCGAAAAATCCGAATAGCTAGAGTTCAGATATTAAGCATGAAACATTTTCTAGTAAGTGTCTACAAAGATTGTTCAAATAAAAGCCCTTGGGTCCAAACTGGCCCTGCCCCAGGTGTGTCATTGTTTTTAACTATATGTGTAAAGAAAAAACTTGACCAGCTAGACCTTAGATGTTTAGCATGAAACATCTTCTAATGGGTGTCTACCAAGTTTGTTCAAATAAAAGCCCTGGCCCTGCTACGGGGGCCTATATACAGGTGAGCGACTTCAGGGCCATCATGGCCCTCTTGTTTTTTTAGAAATATGATATTTTATGTTTAAGCCCGATCAGGCATTTTCACTAGCCTATTAAGGGGTTAGTGTTGGACTGCTGAAAGTAGTCTTTGGGCTCTGGACTTTGACTTTGTATAAATGATTGGACCCCTTTAGTTACCGAACCGACATCTACTGCACCCCTAAAAATTGACAGTGATGTTAATCCCTAAAAAATTAAAGACACAATTGCATTTCATTTATTGTTACTGGGAAAAAAGCTCTTCCTTTCTAAAAGAATATAATTAACCCAAGTTCTAACTTCTGTCAAAATAATTCTATAGTGGGTCAGTGTTTGTAATTATGTCTCCCCCACCTCGGGGGGAGACATATTGTTTTTGCCCTGTCCGTCCGTCCGTCCGTCAGTCCGTCCGTCAGTCCGTCCATTCTTCGTTTCCGGACGATAACTAGAGTTCCTTTTGACCTACAGCTCTCAAACTTCATAGGATGAATGGTCTTATTGAGCAGATGATCCCTATTGTTTTTGGGGTCAGTAGTTCAAAGTCAAGGTCACAGTGACCGTTTGGTCATTTTCTCGTTTCCGGATGATAACTAGAGTTCCTTTTGACCTACAGCCCTCAAACTTCATAGGATGATTGGTCTTATAGAGCTGATGATCCCTATTGTTTTTTGGGGTCAGTAGGTCAAAGGTCAAGGTCACACTGACCGTTGGTCAATTTCTCGTTTCCGGATGATAAGTAGAGTTCCTTTTAGACCTACAGACCTCAAACTTCATAGGATGATTGGTCTTATTGAGCGATGATCCCTATTGTTTTTGGGGTCAGTAGTTCAAAAGGTCAAGGTCACAGTGACCGTTGGTCAATTTTCTCGTTTCCGGATGATAACTAGAGTTCCTTTTGACCTACAGCCCTCAAACTTCATAGGATTGATTGGTGTTATAGAGGCAGATGATCCCTATTGTTTTTGGGGTCAGTAGGTCAAAGGTCCAAGGTCACAGTGACCGTTGGTCAATTCTCATTTCCGGATGATAACTGTAGAGTTCCTTTTGACCTACAACCCTCAAAACTTCATAGGATGATTGGTCTTATTAATCAAAATGATCCCTATTGTTTTTCAATGGTCAGATGTAGGTCAAAGGTCAAGGTCACAGCGACCGTTGGAAAATTTCTCCTTTCCGGATGATAACTAGAGTTCCTTTAGACCTACAACCCTCAAACTTCATAGGAATGATTGGTCTTATTGAGCAGATGATTTCCCTCTTGTTTTATGGGTCAGTAGGTTCAAAGAGTTAAGGTCACAGTGACCATTGGTTCATTTTCTCATTTCCGGATGATAACTAGAGTTCTTATCAGTGAGGACATTTAACTATTATTGATATATCAGTGATATATCAGTTGTCTGGTTTTATATACTCTGTTCTTTTATCTCCATTTCCATTCCTGTTTCCATTCACAGTTATTCTCAGCAGTGGGGGAGACATGCGCTTTTTTACAAAAGCATCCTCTAGTTAACTAAACATATTATTTTCTGTTATAGGGTATGACATAAAGCCAAGAATAGCTTCAGCCTTCTCCAGTATCTGTCTGATAATCAGCGAAAATTTGAACATTGGTATCCAACAGAAAACACTGTGACTAAAGATGGATGACGGTGGAACACTAGACTTTGAAGATTTGATGGACACCGGAGACGAGTTTCCAGGTTTTGAGATCGCCAAATTTACACCGGCCAATGACAACCAGGGGAATGATGATGGTGTTCTGAGAACACCGGAACACGAGAAAGACGACGAGGATTATCTGAATGAAAGTAGAAATAATCATAAAGTTAAAGATGACGTTAGTGACAAAGAGGAGATTACTGCTGAAGTTAATAGTGTTGAAGATATTGTAAACAGTATCGAGGGAGTTTGTCCTGATGATGTTACTAAGAACAGAGATAATGCTATAAACGATGTAAGTAAAAACTGGTATTCATCGTATTTGTTTATTGTTACACATAGTAATCTGATTGCAGTTGATTGACTCCTTTGGCCATTACCTAGCTTACTTTAATACTTTAGCTCAGTATCTCAGATGGGCTTGTCCATAGTTCAACGTGGACAGAACCAGGAAAATTTGGCTGTATAGCAAACAGTGCTATTCATGACCAGGCAAGCATGGATGTCTCGGTTGATATTGGTTTGAGCTTGTAGAATAAGCAGAATCCGACAGGTAGAGGTGCGTGGTTTAACCGGTGACTATTACCGGTAAACCACGGGTCCGAGACATTCTGCGGTACGTACCGCGGTACACGACCTGGAAGCCGGTACTTTTTTAGCTCTAATTTAAAGCAATTACAGATCCGTAAAATGTTACTAAATTAAAAATACTTTTTCTGTTGTATATGTTAATTGTTTCTTTGAGTTAATCTTTTAGCAAACAACTTTCGCCGACTATTATCATTCTTCGATATTTCTTAGCGAAAATTGAATTCTTTATCCAATTTACGCATGTAAGCCAGGAATTGTCGACTTTGCATGATCTCAGTTGAAGAAGCAAAAAATTGTCGACTTACATTTACTTGTCCAAATATCGCTTATTTGATTACAAAACTAATCGTAAAGATTGATAATTCATGAGGGATTCCTTGCCATTACTATTTTAAGTATTTATATAAAGAGCGACCAATCAGGCTAGGGGTTTTCCTTACGTCATGCACTTACTGCATGCGCATGGGCAATTAACTAATTTAGAACGGCGTAGAAACTGGTCGTTCAACTAATGAATTATTAATTAAGCAGTAACATGGTCAGCTGTTTCTAATGTGATAATTTTTAATTTGCTTTTGGGTACATGTTTGTTTTTGTTTTTGACACGGATTAATTAAATACTTAGCCCTTTGCAATTAAAAAATACAATTAGCAGCTGGGACTCTTTTTATAAAATTAACCGACAATTAAATATTTGTCATCAGCTAACGTGCATTTTGACCTATTATTTTATTAATCAATAAGCAATAAAAACAGTTTATTTTTCCATTTTTAACTATGCAATTTATTTAACAGTTTGTTAAATGTTGAAGAGACCAATAATGTTAATAAAAAAACCCCACAAGAACTGATCCATGACCAATTAATTTATTGATTGTTCAACATGCCAAACAGTACCTGATTTAAAAAAAAGTTTAAATTTGGTGCTTTGATTAATCTGTATTTTATAGATCTGCTTAAATTAAATATTTGAAATTCTATACCAGCCTACCTTGATACTTATTTTAGGGATAAAAATTAACCTATAGCATACAATGAAAATCCGTGGTATACCAGTTTATACCGTGGTTTTTAGGAAAAAACCGTGGTATACCGTGGTATTTTCTTTCTGGCGGTACCCAACTCTACCGACAGGCTAAGGGTTACATATAATTTTCAAAATTTTCTTCTGGTTTTTATGTCTAGTTCCTTGGTATCTTTATATTTATATAACTGTTTAGATAAAAAATGAGAAACAATAACCTGCAGGCAAGTATTTCCGTTTATTTGTAGGAACCTTCAGACAAAAGTGAAAAAACCCTTGAAAAAGATGATGTAGAAATGGTTATGCTTGATGAATCAGGAGACAACAAACCTGATGTACAGATTGAGGAGAAGAATGAGGAACATAAGGAAGCTGAAGCCCCAATTGTAAACCACGATGAGACGGAAGATATTATAGAAATTACTGAAGATAATTCTAACACTGAAGATAAGGTAGATGTTTTAATATGTAAGCCTCAATATTTCGACTGCCAGACCGGTCAGTTTTACAAACTGATATTGATTACTGGCCGCCAATGTGCAACAAAAACCGTTGTTAAAAAATTTGTTGAGCTAATGTTCATGTTTAAAAAAATTTTAAAAAGCTTACACAATCAGTGCCCATTGCTGTGATACAAACAAATGCTTCATTTATATACATATGTGTAGAAATAAGATAGAAAGGAATGTTTAGAAATAATCTGTTTTATTATGTACAATACATATATTTGATGATTTTGATACTTTTACCATCTTTGGAAATAAGCTAGGGATCTTAGCAGATTTGAAAGTATATTCTGTTTTATAAATAAATTTTCATCTCAAATGAATATGGGTGCCACACTTTCTATTAACATAATAGTCTGACAATTGGTATCAACAGTGATACACTCCTAGATTTCTTTTAAGCTGACTCTGTCTGACTGTAATTACATTTTACTGTTTATGTTACATACATGTAACTTCAATGATCATGTGACCCTTTTAGTAATGAGCTTAGGGGAGTCCGCGGCCGAATGGTTAAGGTCATTGACTTCAAACCACTTGCCCCTCACCGCTGTGGGTTTGAATCCCGACAGGGACTTTGGATTCTTTCTGACATGTGAGGAAGCTATCCAGCTAGCTTACGGAATGTCTGTGGTTCTACTCAGAAGCCCGTTCGTGCCTGAAATAATGCACAGAAGGGCACCTGAGATCTTCCTCCACCAGTTAAGCTGGAACATCGCCAAATGACCTTTACTGTGTCGGTGTGACGTAAAACCAAAAACAAAAGAAACAAATAATTAATGATGAGCTTTAAAATGCCAATAGGTAGTTATTCAAATTTCTGATGATCTACAAAAAAAAAAAAAAAAAGATTTTTATTCATGGCTGCAGCATAGAACAAGAATAAAACACTTTTATATTTATAGATATTATACACAGGGCTGCCGATTTTCCGCGGATCCGCGGAAATCTGCGGATTTCGTGAGCTCCTGGGTCATTTTTTAGATCAATGTAAATTCGACAAAGACAATAAATTCATTTGTCATATTTTATACAGTACCCAAAAACTGGCACGCTTCGGCTTTTATCGTTACGCTAGCCGCCTATGGTACGTCTGTAAGCACTTTTCTCATTGGTCATATCGAGTCTTTTCCGGCATTCTATTTTAGAGTAACCAATCAAATTACAGTTTACATTGTCGCTCTTGTCTGTTGTCAAAATGTCGAATATTTGTCAAATTTAGAGTCCAGGAAATTGATTTTAGGGCATACCAAATCATCAGAATCCAGGAGCTTCCGGGGGCTATGCCCCCTGGTCCCCCACCAGGGCTCTGCCCTGGACCCACAAAGGGGGCTTGCGCAGCCCCCTTGACCCCCAGCGTATTTTCCGCTGATTTTGCAATTTGCTGTTGGCAGCCCTGTATAATACAATCTTTTCCAGGAAGAAGAGCATGAACCTGCTCAAAAAAAGAAGAAGCTATTTTTGAAACCTCCAGAGAAGAAGATGTCATTGATGGGCAGTCTAAAGAAGAAGACGAAGGAAGTTGATGATGATGATGTTGAAATAACTAATTGTGAAGATTCCAACAGGTAGGGGGGAAAGAGTGAATAATTTTGTTTGCTTGCTAATTTGGCAGCAGTTTATAATAACTTTTTATATGCAAGCAGATAATTGTCTTAATTCTTATATAACATGATAATGTAAATTTCTCACCAATTTATTTTTTGCATGGGACAATGTATTTTAAGGGATTCCACTAAGGAATTTTGACATGACTTTGTGCGGACTGGAAATATTTTTTTCAAACTAAATGTTCCATTTGATGAAGCTCTAACCTAATAACTTGTTAGCAAATTTTTAGATCATTTGCTCACTCCATTTTTCCAGAATGATTTTTCTAATCATTAAAAATGATCCAAAATAGTGCTAAATAATAGCACAAAACACAGTATATTTCTCAATTATTTTTTGCATATCATCCCTGTTTTCAGTGCCCCAGCTGATCTATGTAAGAAATTCAAGTTTTAATGTTTTAGGCTTTTGGAATTCCTCAGTGGAATTTCTTTAAATATATTCAGTCTAATTGAAAGGTCTCGGAACACTTTACTGCTTAATGTATCAAAGCCTGTATTGTTTTCCCTGTTTTGGTTTTAATTTTGGATATTGTTATTATTGGCAGAGTTACACCAGACAAAGAAGATAGTATAGATGATCCTGTTATTATTGAGAATGGTGATGATGATGGAGAAATGGAGGAAAGAAAGAATGAAGAAAAAGATACAGAAAAAGATGGAAAAAATGAAAATAGTGGAGAAGAGGAAGAAGAAGAGCCTCATCAGCAATCATTCCTGTCCTTTTTAAATCTCAAACCAGGTATGAAAAATAGTCATAAATATTGCTTTGCTGCGCTTTACTCAATACATTTGTGGTCACATTGATTTTAGCGGTCACATTGATTTTAGCAATTTTTCCAACAGAAAGCCCTTTTTCTGATAATTAGGATTATATATATGCTAAATATTTAACTGCTCCTAGCAAAAATATTGGTGAGAGATATGTGAAATCTAGCTTGTTTGCTTGATACCTAATGGCAATTGTTGTTATTTTAATTTTTAGCTCACCTGTCAGAAAGTGACAGGGTGAGCTTGTAAACGTTTACTTTAAAAGACATCTCCTCATAAACCACTAAGCCAATTTCATACAAACTTCACAGGAATGTTCCTTTGGTGGTCACCTTTAAAAATTGTTCAAAGAATTTAATTCCATGCAGAATTCTTGTTGCCATGGCAACCAAAAGAAAAAACTTTAAATATCTTCTTTTAAAAAACCCAAAGAGCTAGAGCTTAGATATTTGGCATGAAACATCTTCTAGTGAGTGTCTACCAAATTTGTTCAAATAAAAGCCCTGGGGTCAAAATTGGCCCCGCCCCAGGGGGGGTCATTGATTTTCCTTATATGCATATAGTAAAACTTAAAAAATCTTATTTTAAAGAACCCAAAGAGCTAGAGCTAAGATATTTAGCATGAAACATCTTCTAGTGAGTGTCTACCAAGTTTGTTCAAATAAAAGTCCTTGGGTCAAATTTGGCCCCGCCCACGGGGGTCATTGATTTTCCCTATATGCATATAGTAAAAACTTAAAAAATTTCTTTTAAAGAACTCAAAGAGCTAAGATATTTAGCATGAAACATCTTCTAGTGAGTGTCTACCAAGTTTGTTCAAATAAAAGCCCTGGGGTCAAAATTGGCCCTGCCCCGGGGGTCATTGATTTTCCTTTTATGTGTATAGCAAAAACTTAAAAATCTTCTTTGAAAAAACCCAAATAGCTAGAGTTTAGATATAAGCATGAAACATCTTCTAGTAAGTGTCTACAAAGTTTGTTCAAATAAACGCCCTGGGGTCAAACTGGCCCTGCCCCAGAGGTGTCATTGTTTTTAACTATATGTGTATAGTAAAAACTTAAAAAATCTTCTTTTAAAAAACCCAATGAGCTAGAGCTTAGATGTTTAGCATGAAACATCTTCTTATGGGTGTCTACCAAGTTTGTTCAAATAAAAGCCCTTGGGTTAAAATTGGCCCTGCCGGGGGGGGGGGGTGGCAGGAGGGTGAAGTCATTGTTTTTCATTATATGTGTGTAGTAAAAACTTAACATCATGAAACATCTTCTAATGGGTGTCTTCCAAGTTTGTTCAAATAAAAGCCTAGGGGTTTAAACTGGGGGCCTATATATAGGTGAGCGACCTCAGGGCCATCATGGCCCTCTTGTTCTATGGTAATTTATAAAGGTTGATAATAGCTTTAGTATATATATTTTCATAGTTTTTGTACTGATTAAAACATTGTTTTCCTAATATAATTGATATATTTTAGGTGCCTCAAAGCCAAAAAAGAATGATGAAATAGAAAAAGAAGAAACTCTTCAGAAAGAGTTCTACTCTAGGAAAAGACTTCGTACTCGCAAAAAGGTATGTTCTTCAACTTCTGGCATCTTTTACATAATCTTTGGAATAAGTTAAAGAAAAATAAATTCTGTGGTTGGATTTTGATATATAATTAGGCTGTTTGGACTGATATATAATTAGGCTATTTGGACTCATTTTGATGAAGTGGAGGAAGTTAAGGAATCCTTTTTGTTGTAATGTAAGTTTTATATGGTTCCTGTTAAAGTGGCGATAAACGTATTTTTTTCACTGTCAAATGGAGCTGAATTAGCCATAAACTCGAAAGAATGACTTTTAAGATGGCAGCTGACCAATAATTGATACTGATTAAAGTGTAGGATAAAGTACAAAAACTTTAGAGTGAAACATAATGGGCCTTTAATATGTTCTACACCATTGCTTGAGATAATTTTTGGAGCATTATGTTTCAATGATGTCATTTTACCTCTATTGTGTACAGTATCAGCATATTAACACCTTTGTAATTATCTGTACTGATTTTGTTACATTGTATAAAATTTGAAAGATGGTTGAAGGATAAATACTCTGCCCCCAGCACATAGCAAGTGAATTAGCACCTATAATTGTCCTTATCCTGTCTTGGTGAGAATAGGTCAAACATTGTATTGTGTCATAAAAGTTAGTTGTGTGCTAAATATTGAACAGTTGACATCTGTAAATTTGATTTCATTATTCAACTTCTTGGATTGACTTTAAAATAGTGAATTAAAACGTATTCACAGCTTTGTACAGTGATAAAAACAATGTTTTCTCCTGTGGATACATTGGTAACTAGACTTTTAATAATTTTGCTTTGGCTTATACAGAATTTATTTTTGTTGGATTGTGTAGGAAGCTATAAGCTTATAGACACACTTTTGAATCTGTTCCCGGAACCAACCAATACTGAGCAATGAGTGTAAAGTTTCTTGCTCAAGGAAACAACAACTTGCCTCTGACAGGGTTTGAACCTGTGTGGCTAGCGATCATTAGATAAGTAGTCTGTCATGTTAACCATTTAGCCATGCCGCCACATATTGCTTTGATTGATATCTGGTTGAAGTAGTTCAATGATTATATGTTTATTATACTATATTCATCTATAAGGTGTTTTCTTGGCTGTAGAATTTACTGCAGTTGAAGAATAGTATGCATAACATAGTTTATTTTCCCTGTTTTACAGGTAAGTTATTGTGAAGATGTCCAGCAAGATGATGATGATGAATACAATGTTGATGAGGAGGAAGACGAAGATGATGCTGATCATCAAATCGATTATCGACGTGGAGGCAACCGGAATAATAACAAAGTTCGTCGTAATTCCGGTTCTGCAAATTACACAAATGCTTTGCAGAATTTACTTCCTGGAGTTGACCTGAGCTGCCTACAGCGTAAACCAGTTCAAATTAGCCCAAATGCAAATAATTTAGCATCAACACCTCTTATTATGGAAGGTTTGAAAGCACAAAGTAACATTAAGGGTCTGTTTGAATGTGGGCTATGCGGGGTTTTCTTTAATACAGCAGCTCAGTTTTTAACTCACCAACAGGCATTACATGCGGGACAAAAGAAAAATGGACGATCAGCGATGGAGACTTTTAGGTGTGAAGTTTGCGGATTTGTTTTAACAAATAGGTTTGCTTATTTAGAACATAAGAAAATGAAACATAATAAAAGTGGAACAGTATATAGCTGTAGCAAATGTAAGATTAACAAATTTACAGATTTAACAGCATTGCAGAAACATCAGCAGGCTTGTGGGGTGCCATTCTGTTCCACATGCGGAGCAACTTTTAAAGCTTGGGTAGACGTGGCAGACCATAGAAGGAAAGCCCACCCTCCTGTGACCCCAACACGGCAGTGGTTGAATTGTGGGAACAAGTTGTGTAATTTCAAATGTGTTACCCAGCACGAGATGAGGCAGCATATTCAAACTAAGCATGCCATCGGGGAAACATTCACGTGTAATGCTCCCCGCTGTACACTCATGTTCAGTTCAAGGGAGAAATTAACCGAGCATAAAAAAGAAGCGCATGCGTCCGAGTTTATCGTGCAGTACCAGTGTATGGAATGTAAAAACTGTTTCTCCAGTAAAACCCTCCTGGCTGAACATCAGTATCTACATACGTTAGAAAAGTTACGGAAGTGCGACTTGTGTTTGCGGCAGTTCACAAATGTGAATGACCTACGTAAGCATAAAGATGTTCATGCCGTAAAAGGCACCTCAAGGTGTCAAGCATGCCTTAGATGGTGTTTTGACAAAATTGAGTTAGTTAATCATGTATGCGCACAAAAGCGACGAAATATCGGAATTCGCCTCTACTTTTGCGACGTATGCCACAAAGACTTCCGGTCTGACGAGAAAATGTTTCTGCACAGAAAAGAGCACAAGAATTTTTTCCAGTGTGGTATTTGCTTATCAGAATTCCATAAGGAGTCTGAATATTTTACCCATCGAGAAATACACAGCAAGTTCACGTGCAAGGAATGCTGCGAAGAGCTGGATGAAAAAGACGTGGAAATGCACGCTAAGGCACATAAGTACTATATCAAATTAGAAGATATTGAAAATAACGGTAAAAATGAAAAGGCTATGTTTTTATGTCCCAATCTGTTTAATGCCATACAAGCCTAAATAAGATGGAAACATTTAAAAATGACAGCATTTACATTTACCTGATTTTGGTTTAGAACTATAATTATATAGTTTTAGTTCATTTAAAGAAAAACATTTTTTAATCTTGTAATTTTGTTAAGTTTAATGGTACATGTTGCTATAACCTATTAAAGCTGCTGATTTTTTTAACCCGTAATTAAATAATACACCTCAAAATATGAAACTATTTATATTGGAATAACTAATTAGTAGACGTTTGAAAAGGAAAAAAATTCTGACACCTAACTGAAATAATTTGGAAATGCTTTTAATTCAAATTTATTACTTTTGAGGTTTGAACAAAGGAAAAATCTGAAAATGAAAAGTGATAACAAATTTTAATTGGAAGTAAAACATAGTTTTAATTGAAGGAATCAGTTTGTCCTGAAGTTTGTAGATTTATGTTTATTTTTGCTAATTTCCTTTCTTCTTTATTTTGGAAAATACGTAAAAGATTATTTTTTTTAAGTTAACAATTCAGCAATGTAACCAGTTAACTTTTCTCAAGATCTAAATGGAGGCATTGGGCATATTAAGAAACATGCTTTCTATTCATAAACATTGCTTTCTTGAAACATGTTAGTTTAGTAAATACATGGTCACTTCTTGTTTATGTTATTGTGTAAATTGCTAAATATAAAAGCAGCATGCCTCCAGATTCATGCTAATCTAAAGTCAAATCTTTAAAATTTATGTATTTTAAAGTAAGATAATGTGATTAAAATAAGTAATTTACGCAGTCAGTTTATACATGTACTATATAATCTACATAAATTACCAAAAATACCTTTAAATAGGTCAAAATATGCAAAAAATAAACCATACTGCTTCAGTCATGCAGTAGAAAAGTGATGATGATATATATATATTGCCAAATTGGGTCATTAATTCATTAATTTAATTGCACAATACCTGTTAATTATCACTAATTTTCTGAAACATTTTACTTTTCTTAAAAACTTTGTACATTTTTCTCAAATTTGACTTTGAACTATTATTTGCTCATCTGGAGGCAAGAGGCTGTAAAAGTAGATATAGTGCAACATGTATTGTGCGACCTTCTGTAGACCAATAACCTTATAACAACAATAGTATTAATATGAAATTTAACCTCACAATACATTTATCTGTTCTAAAGCAAGACTTCTCTACAACAACCAGACTTTTTGTTTCCAAAGATGTATTGCTCTGTAGAGGTGGAACTGTTAATGTTTTTTTTTAAAGGGAATTGTTGGCGTGTTCAAAATGATTTAGGGCATTATTTTACCAATAGGTAACATTGAAGATAAAAAAGTATGATTTTTGTGTATTATATAATTGAATTCATGCATGATTATACGACGATTAAAGTCATTTTGCAAATGATGTTAGTTAACGTTGTCATTGACGTTAAAAATAAAAAAGTTGTAATATCCTGGAAATGTTAAAGCTAAATATGAAATTAATAGGTAACAATGGGCAAATTTCAAAAGTTATTTTATTTATTTCAAGTTCTGAAGAATTGAATTTCTTTAGTAATCCAATATTATAATGTAAATTATGTTAAGATATGTTTTCTTATGCCAGCAGTCATTATTATAGGAAAAGGTAACAAATATTTTAGATTTTCATTTGTAAGTAAGAAGTTTTTTTTCTTCTGAATATTTGTTTAATAGCTTATTTTATCTTTTTATTCTTTCCAAAAAAAAATATATGAATCTGGTGCAGAAATTTGTACATGTATTATTTAGTAATATGTAAGTTGTTAATGATATTGATGATTATATAAGATATAAGTAGATGTATAACACTGGCGTTAATAATTTACAATTATATATGATATATGGTTCAGGAAATAAGGTGTATATATCATTTGAGCCGCGTCATGACAAAACCAACAAAGTGCGTTTGCGACCAGCATGGATCCAGACCAGCCTGCGCATCTGCGCAGTCTGATCAGGATCCATGCTGTTTGCTATCAGTTTCTCAACTTGTAATAGAGTTGGTAAGCGACCAGCATGGATCCTGATCAGACTGCGCGGATGCGCAGACTGGTCTGGATCCATGCTGGTCGCAGACGCACTATGTTGGTTTTGTCGTGATGCGGCTCATTTATTGATAACTAAAAAGTGCATTTATGGGTCATAAATTTTATATGCATTCCAGAACAAAGTGTTGCTGATTGTCTTATGATACTATGATTGTTATGTTTTCAGTGTTGTTTGTTACATGTACTTTGTTTGTTTTCTTAGATATATAAGCAGCGCCATATCAAAACCAACATAATGCGTTTGGTCAGAGCGTTTGCGACCAGCATGGAGCCAGACCAGCCTGCGCATCCATGCAACCTGATCAGAATCAATGCTGTTCGCTATTAGTTTCTCAACTTGTAATAGGGTTTGTATCCTGATCAGACTGTGCGGTTACGCAAGCTGGTCTGGATCCATGCTGGTCTATGCGCACTGTTTGTTTTCTATAAATGTATGTTTTTCTGTAAGTACATGTATATATGTAGCTGTAGGCATTGGAAAAAATTGTTTTTATTTGGTTTTATGGTGCACCAATACATTTTAGGTCATATGCCGCAGAAACAGGAAAAAAGATTTTGGCTAACCTGGGGTGTTACAACTAAAAGAGAATTGTGAAGTTGTAAAGTCAAAACTAAATTAAGATCTTAAATTTAGTAATCTGCTACGGAGGACCACACTTTTATTTTTAGCCAATCAAAAATGAAACTGTAATGTTTAAGGATTATTTTGGGAGTTTTTATTTAGTCTAAAACTAATCAATGGAATATCTTTAAATTTGGCATGTTGTTAGAATATGATGACAGAAATATTTCAAGCGATAAAATATTGGGTGTCACTGATCTCTCTTTCTCCTAACATCAGTTGTGTTGTTCTTAAATAAAACCTGTAGTGTTAATACGATAAACTGTCTCTGTCTAAAAGATTTTGTTAAGGATGGGATATGTGGCCGGTGAACCTTTTCTATTGCAATAAGTCGTGTCTTCTAAAATGGGGAAATTTGCGTTACTATGAGAAAGTTGAGAAAAGTAAAAACAGGCCTGCCAGATTTAAACATTCCCTTTCAGTGATGATAAATATATGAAATAATGAAATTGTTGTATTTTTTATAGTCACAGATGCCAAAAAATGTTACGTTTGTTGGGAGTACTCTTTAGTATTATTAGGAATTTTTAGCAGTTAGGAAAAAAGCCTTATTTTACCTCTATTTCTTGTTAAAAGTTACAGCTTATCAATGTAGTAAAATGACTGTAAAAGACCTCGATACGTCTTGATTGTAGACCAATTCAACTTTGCATTCGACTGTCCTTTGATCTGACCTTGAAAGTTGTCATATAAAATACTGCCTAAACGAAGAAGATAAAATATCAAAACCAATTTTTTATCGAGGGGCTTTTGTTACTGTTCAAATTTTCATGACGAGGAATTTCGTTCCATTTCCAAGAATTGGTCAAGGGGATTTTGTCCTAAGGCACATGTTATTATTGAATTGGTAGAAATTGTTAAGTCATTTACATTTGATACATATACATATATATTTTACATCTGTGATGTATACAATATATTTCTAGTTTATGGCCTTAAACAAGGAAACATTTGTTTGTGTTTCGAGTTTTGAAATTTGGAGGTACAAATGCACATGTACAGTACTTCAAATTTGGTCAAAATGATTAAGTGTATATTATATAGTTATAAGACAATACGAAAAATTGATCATCAATGTTAATGTTGTAACTGCTTGTTTTCTTTTTATTTGAAAATAACATTTTGTCTGTATTTGTTAATTTGTTACATTATGTTTCATTAATTACTTAAATACATGTTTCAGTTTTCATGTAAGTTTTTGGAATGTCCAGAAATGTTTCAATTCTCTTTTTATAGCACTCATCTTTTTAGTTGTAAAGTTGATTGTATAATGATTATGAAAACTTGACCTCGAGTAAATAAATAATATTGATGTATATATGTACACTGTATTTGTTGATTGATTTTGCCCCTTCATTACACAATAGTTTCTTTTGGCTGTACATTGCTTGTCAGTGTCTTACAGGAAATCAATGGTTCTACAAGAAACAAGTGCTTGGCTTTCAGTGCTTGATTGTAAAAAAAAAGAGCCTGGATAATGTAGAGTTGTATATGTTCAAAAACAGTCATTATTCTGTAAATATCCATGTAAGAATTATAGACCTTGGATAGAGACCTCCTATTATGCTCTCAAATAATTGTGTGAAGTCTTCAGTACCGTAGTTTTGGAAATACCAACTTGTACACCAACACTGACACCTGGGTGAGTGCAATAGCTCTCCCTAATTTTCGAAAATAGGAGCAAAAAATTGAAATATTTTATAGCTAAAAAGGAGCGACCAGGCTGTTTAAGATGGGCTTTTGTGTTGCCATGAAAAAGGCAATATATAGGGTTACTTTTGTTGGTGGCATCCCCTTGGGCTTGTCCGGAGCATAACTCAGTCACTATAAGTCAGGTTGATTGCATGCCTCTTTCAATTGTATAAGAATCGTTACTCTCCACTTATTTTTTGAGTTATTGCCCTTTGATCACTTCATAGGATGATGGATCTTATTGAGAAAAAGTGCAGTGCACAAGACTTTGTACTCTGCCCTTCATGATTTTTGAGTTTTTGCCCTTTGTTAATTTTCATACTTAATAGGCTTGTCCAGAGAATAACTTGGTCACTATAATTTTGATTGAATCCAAACTCAGTAATGCAAGCTTTTTTCATTGACCTAAAGTGCAATGCAGAAGAATCCATCACAGAGTCCTCCATTTTGATCTGTCAGTGTAAAACTTTTCCATGGTATTTTTATTTTAATAACATAACAGTTTTATTTAACCTGACGCAACATTGTTAAAATCAGTTCAAATGCCATTAAAGCTAAATGTACTATTGCAAGAGCAGTGTTAATGCCTAAACTTACAGGTATACTGTTGACAAGGCTACATATCCAACTCGCAGAGTTCTAGTTTTCTTAAAAGCATCTAACTGGTAATGTTTATCCTGACAGACATGATGTTTAAATGAATGCTGTTGAGAACAGTTTATGTGAAATACAATTTCAGAAATTTTCAAATTTCGGCATTGCCATCGGACATAAACATTAGGGCAAAGACCAAGTGATTTAAAAATCATGTAACTCAAATTTTTTTTGTTTTATATAATAAATTAATGCTCAAATGAATATTGATCAATATTGTAAGTTCCAGACAGCATTATTTGTAAAGATATTACCAAATTTACATTTAATGTAAATGAAGGGAGGTAATTAGAAATTTATTTTCGATAGTCTTAAGCGAAATTTTTCAATAAGAAATGAATGGATAAAATTTCACTTAAATGTTTTATACTTCCTTAAATTCATATGGATAGTTCAATAGGTGTGAATCGGGCAACCCAGGTTCAATTCCCAGACAGCGCAGGTCACTTTCCTTGTGATCTATCATGAAATCTTTTCTATGGTCATTTGCACTGTATCTCTGCTCTGGCATGTACGGAAGTTTCCTTCCTTGCGAAAGGGAAGGCAACTAGAACTGTTAAACATCTCGACAGCCTGCCCAAGAACAATGCGGTGGCTGAACTGTGCTCTGGTAAATTCAGTGTGGCTTACTTCCATGATCTGAAGTGAAAACTACCAACACCACCACCAGTTACATTCTTGATTAAAACATACAGTATCTTTAATTCATTATGCATACTTGGGTTTACATCTTTTGATGGAAATGACCTATGTTTTTACACCCATTATCTTCATTCTTAATCCGGTTAAAATTGACCCAATTTTCAGATACTGTTGAGGCACTTTCCGGATATTCATGTGATTGTGAAGATAATTAAGTGCAGCTCGGCACCAGTTACTACTAAAGACCAGACAAAAACACACTAGGTCTGTGTATCCATTTATTTTAAGTACAAATTCATAAAGAAAAATTGAATAACATTAGAGGATAAACAAGAATAATGTTACACTGTTTAGACAGAATTTACAAAACAAAAATTAAAGCTAAACACAGCTGATTTAGAACATTCTTGATACAATATACAAAAACATAAATATGAAAACATTAACACTCTCTTGCTTATTATTTCATTCTGACGAAGAAATCTGTGAGCAATTTCCTTTTAAATTAAAAAATCAAAACCTATTTATTGATAGATAAAATGAATGGATATATAAGTTACTTTGAAATTTTTAAAATTTTGAACATCTGACTTTGAAGGTTAAGGTCAAATAACTTTGGAGTTCTAAGTCATACTTTTATTGAGCACACTCTATCATATTGACAGTACTAAGGCAATATCTCCCAAAAATTCCAAAAATGCAGGGACATAAAAACATGAACTGGAATAATAAAGCACTGATTAACAACATATAACTTAAATTATAAAATTTCTATATTTTTTGGAAAACACCAAATAATCATGTGGTGATGGCACATTTTAAATTAATACCTCCTGAGAATTTTATTACACTATTAATTTTTCATAATGTTCTCTAAAATAATTTTACCATGTTTTCATTATGTAAACAAACAGAAGCTAGTGCTCTCATAAGTGAAAACAAAAATGTTGGGATTTATCCACAGTTTATGTGCTGTTTTAAAAATTTTCAGTAACAAATCTCTAATACACTCTGACACTGTTGAAAAAAGATCAGCCGATTTAGTGCCCTGATATCCCAAAAATGACCCTAAATAACAATACTTTTTTACTTCTCTAGCTTATTTTAAGCTATCAACAATTATAAATTTAACAGTCAGTACCTTGCATATCTTATCTTCTTTTTTTTGACAACCAACCATGTTATCACTGTGCATGGCACAGATATGAATCTTTCAATTAAATTCCTTACAATATTGCACAATTCTCTACAATTCTGCCTTGTCATCTCCTACATATGTATTAAATACTTCTCATTAAAACGTCTCTTATAAAATCATCTCTTCATCATTCATCCGATGTTGCCCTATATAAAGCCTTCCCTCTGTGATTGAATGAAAGAAATCCTTGTCTGTTACCAAGCATATCCCATGTTCTGTAAACAAACAAATTTGCCAATGTAATACTAGTTAGTTATGTAGTGTTGCTGTTTGTTTTTCTAGAAGTTTTGGAGCAAAAACTTAACCATTTAGTGCAAAGGCCTCACTAATGTGAGTGGGTGATGCCTGGGTGAGTTCAATAGCTCTCCCTTATAATTCTTTGAATAGTCAACTCCACAAATACTGGTTTTTGCTTTGTACATACATATACCAAATAATCCTTTTCCTTAACTTAAGCAAAATACGTTATCTTTTTTAAAAACACTACAATGCAGTATTTCAAAGAAAGAACCACAAAAAACAAAATTCTATGCTTCAAATGGAAAGTTAAATTACTCCAATCACAATAAATCAAATAGAACATACTTTTGTCTTACACATTATTGTTGTTCTTATAATATTCAACCAACAAAAGCAAAAATGAGCCAATTCATACAAGTTAAAATAGTCCCTTTAATGATAAGAATTTTGAATGACAAACATTTCTTATTATAAGAGATATTTTGAATAACTAAAGACTGAAGACAAAGAGGCAAAATCATACTTATGATCAAGGTCAGCACTGGCACGTATTTCTCTGAAAGACCCAGCTATGTGTACAACACCGTGTATAACAAGTAGAAGAGATAATATACACTGAATCAATATCTGAAAAAAAAGAAGAATATCATTCAAAATTTCACACACATAAACCTATTACATAACAGCCAGTATTTACTTTTATAAATATGGGTTGTTAGAAGAGTACTGTATCTTGGTTTGAGTATTTTGGTATCTTCATAAAGCCTGGGCAGCTAGAGCAACTCGCCAAAAGTAGAAGATAACAACAGACTTACTCCGGAAATATTCAAGTTTTCCCCTGCTAATCCGTAGGTACAAATAGCTTTTACATTGAAAGCTTCGAAAATAAGCGTTACAGGTTGACTAATCTATTATGATGGGTAGACTAGTGCACCATGAAGTTTATCAGTAAAAGTTTGTTTGCACCTACAGTTTAGCTGGGAAAAACCCACTTTTGCTGAGTCCTGGATAACATCTAATACAAGGTAACAGTTTACAAAAATGAATTCTACACACATTAAATTCTCATTCAACTGAAATACAAGAAGACTTGCCCATTAAATCTATCTACTAGTGATGTCAAACTTCCCTACTTGAAGATACATGTACATGAAGATTGAAAGACCTTGGCCAAGGTAAACATATTTAAATTAAGGACATTGATAAAATTAAAAAACACTTACATCCCATGGTAACCTAGTAAAGTCCTGTTCTGTGAGACGTAGGTATGATCTATCTGTAAATTAAAGAAAAAACATACATGAAATTTTTAACACTTGTTCATTATTAAAGGATTAACCTAACATGTACATGGAAAAAAATTTAGCTGCTGAAAGTAGAGCCTGGGCGGACTGCACATGTAGGTTTAATGAGATCAAGGCACAATAAGCAGCTTTCAGCTTTCGCTGTTAAGTATGGACCCCAAACATTTCACCAGTCATGCCTTTAGTTTATACAAATTTATTTTAGTTTGATTGTGTTGGAAGCTTTAAGCTTATTGAAACACTTACGAAACCGTTTCTGGAACCAACCAGTATTGAGCAATGACTAAAAAGTTCCTTGCTCAAGATACAAAAGCCTGCCCCTCACAGGGTTGAATCTACGCTGTCAGTAATCCTTAGATTACTAGTCTGGTGTGTTAACTTAACCACTAGGCCACCTCGCCACTCATACACTTGAAGGGTTAATTTTTTAATCACAAAGTGATAATGATTTACCTCTGTGCAATTTCACAGAGTATTTGCCAAAGAGATAAATTTTGAGCTCATCATTCTATCTTATTTGTACTTGTAGGACCACTCCCTAGCCCAGAAGCAAAAATATCTCAAGCGTTGTCATATTTATTTGGACAGACACCCCCTGAAGACACGGACCGTTACCATGGGGAGTCTGTGACTCAGACTAGAGCAATAGGACACCTCCAACAAGGAATAGGGATACAAGGGGACGGCTAATCCGAGACCCGGGCCGGGCTTTGATTTAAAAAGGTTCTTTTACTGTGCCTTTTTTGTTTAAAAAAATTATTAATAATTACTTGAGATTTTCATTCTTCGTTGAATATTTTCTGCATACAAAGGGGAATAAAAACACAGTAAGTTTTAAAATTTGATGTGTCATTTTGTCGTAGAAATTTTATATTTCAGTGTTCCCTTTTTAATAACGGAAGTCTGTGTTTATTATGTCAATTTTAATAAATTGATTGTTGACTTTAAAATGTTATGTCTTTCATTTTTTGTTATTTTTTGTATTGCAAAATAATTTTAATGTGATGTAATTCGTTATCATTGTTATAACGTGTATTTTACAACAAAATATATGTTTTTATGTGTCTTATTGTTTAATAAAGTTTATCAATATCAGCAGCGTTAGCGCCTTATACAAACAATGACATTGTAATATCCCGATAATTGGTCAATTATCACCTGCGTAAGTTGACGCAGTTACAAATAATTTCTTGAAAAAAAAGTATTAAACTACTCTAATATATATGTTACATAGAAATGTTTAGATTGAAATATTATAAAGAATACCAAAAGCAAATTAATATACAATTACACATGAATTTTAAAACTTATTTTATATTTTTACTTTATATTTGCATTGAAATGTTAATACGAAGAACAAAAACATCAATAATTTAATACTTTTATTACATTAACCCACACATTAAAAACCTTTTTTAAATCAAGGTCCGCCTCGTCTCGAGTGACGGTCCGCCGTGTCCCAAAATATGGTCCACCTAGTGTCGAGTCACGGTCCGCCCTGTCTCACGGTCTGCCCTGTCCTGCAGGCGTCATATTTATAGGACTAGAACACTCCCCAGTCAGTAGACAGGACATTAACCACATGTGTGGTCTGTAGGTAGATCTAAGAAGTTCCATATAATACACCTCCTAACAAGGGAAATAGGGATACAAGGGCACAGGCTAAATCACCGGTCAGCCGGGCCAGGGGTTTGCAATAAAAATTCAAGTTTCAAAAATTATTTACAGTTCCATTTTTTTAATACCCTAAATTAATCTACATGAATCTACTATGAGATATAAATATACATTACGTTGCGCTGCTGAATATGCTGCGTGTAAAAGGGCTAATAACCCAACAGCGACACACATTTTGTAAAAATTCATTTTCACGTTTTGCTCCGTGAGAATGTATATGCACACCGGTTGCACTCGTTTAAAGAAACCGGGAAGTCTGAGATTACTTAAATGTCATATTTTTATAATCTGATGTGGTGAAACTTTAATGGTTGAATGTCTTTCATATTGGCAGTTTTGTTGATGTTTATTGCAAGATAACACTGTAAAAATCAAATTTGAGCAAAATATTCTTTTTCTATACAGTATACGATTCTTTCGATGAGCCGCGTAGGTCCGGAGTAATGCTATTTACCAATCAAGTAGGCTTTCAGTAAAGTAACATTCACAGTACGCTAATATTACGGGTAATTTCCAAAATGTCTGCAAGCAGCAGTGTGTCAGTGGGATTTCGTAAGTTTTCTTTATCTTTTCTCTACCATTTGCGAAAGCATATCGTATTTCGTGTGTTTAATGTAACAGAAAGTAAGATCTCATACTGTCAACATTAATTAACTTTGAAAATTAAGGTTACCGTGTACATTAAGTTTGGTTATATGTTTTCCTTGTTAGTAAACTTAGTTGTTGACATCTCTGTGATTATCAAAGTTTGACATTACTTAAGAACATGCCTAGTTACAGTTAGGTGGCTGGTATTAACAATGTTGATTGAGTGCACATTAGTATGGTTGATTAATCATAGCATGTCAGTTTACACCATCCACTAGTCATATTGTTTAGTGCTGTTACACTAGGCATGGCCTTTAATATGGCAAATATGATTTTACCTAGTCCAAATAATTAGACGTAACAGCGGATATGAAGCTATATTTTACATGGGTCAAATCTGCTGTAAATTCGCATTTTCCGATAAACGTCAAACTGTAAAAAAAAGAAAATGCGATGTCTTTCAATGAAGGACTAGATTTTACTCAGCTTCTTATTTTATTGTAGATAAAATCTTAGACTGTATTCTTATTGATTTGTTACTTTCCATCAATTTTCGTGACCTAAATACAGCGTTTTTTTTCTCTTCTTTGGGAATGGTGCCGGTACCAGACTGATTGGGAAAAAATGTGTTATTTTGACTTAAATTGGGATTTTTTTTTAATGCATTTTTTTCACCTACAAATAAGATAAGTCATCATGAATAAAGATAGGTAACAGTTTCCACTGTCCAAGTAGAACTTTTGAGTGATGATTTTTATGAATATGTTAGATTTAAATGATTTCAGAGAAATCACTTGGCCTTGGGGAAATTTTGAACAGCCATTTTGGGAATTTAAACATTGGAAATTGGGAATTTTAATGTCTATTTTCTATTGGGAACAGTACCGTTTTAGGGTAGTAGTTATATAAAGAAAAAAACACTGAAATAAAACAGATCAGACCGGGCAAAATTGGGTGATATAGCTTAAGTTAGCACATCTGTTGTCTCAGATAAAAAAATGAAAACTCAGCTCTGTACTGAGAAATTTTCTCCCCAATGAGTAAACAGTTGAATAGTAATAGTAATTCATATTTAGACTGATAGTAATTCATATTTAGACTGAAAGTAATTCATATTTACACTGATAGTAATTCATATTTACATGCTATCTTAAAATGGGTTCTCATATTTCTTATTGGTACTGATTTCAATCGATTTGAAAATAATTATAAATTATTTAGCTAATAATCACCTTGTGACATTTGGACCTTAACAAGCAACTTTGATAGAATACAGGGCTTTTTTTTCCTCAGGTTGGGGAAGCAGCCCTGCCCTTAATCTGTTGGGGAAATTACATAGTATATTTCCAAAAGGGGGAGAAAAAACTTGATGTAAATTCAATTGTTTGGGAAAACTGCATGATTTTAAATTTTTTTCTTTAGGGAAGCAGCCCTATGACGTCCCCTGCTATATAGAAGGGGAAAATGCCCAGGAATATCAGAGTTATATTCCATCAAGGTGGCTTGTTCAAGGTGTGAGAAATGTTCAACCTGAAAGATACAAGAGCTTGTGCTCTCAGAATTCTGAAAAGTCTTTTGAAGCTCTACTTAACTGAGCTACTTGACTGCACATTTTCTCCCATAATTATAAAGTGAACAGAAAAATTTAAATGACTATAGGAAGAAATGTTCCTGTAGCATTATCTATAACATTTAAATCATTATTTGTTGTTTTACAGGCAATGCGCCAGTGTGTAAGTTTCTTCTAGGATCAGCAATCAGCTCGTCATTTTTACTGAAGTTTCCACTAAAACAACACCAATCATACTTTATCTATACACACAGCCAAGTGTTTGATAAATACCAGGTAAAGTAATGATTTTACTGCTGTGAAATATTTCCATTAATACCTAACAACAGCATAAACATCAATGAATATGTAAAGTATATACTGCAATTATCTGTCCACATTCTATGTCGTCATTAAAATATATGCATTCAATCATTTCATATTGAAAAATTTGACTTAGACTTTATAAAAATAAATTTCTTATTACCTCCCTTTATAATTTATTAACATGAAATGTAAATTCGGTAATATCTTTACAAATAATGCTTTATGGAACTTACAACATTGATAAATCATTAAGCATTATATTATAATATAAAACCATAAAAAATGATCAGGACTCTAAGTGACAATATGCTCATTTATTTTACTGTTAGCTGAGATAAATTACTTGTGTATTTCAAAAGATAAATACCATCATAGACTACTGTAAAATTTATATTGAAGACTATAGATTTTAATATTTTTAGACTTCTGATAATTTGACATGATACCTGGATGATTTTTTTCAAATTTCTGTTTTACTTGATTACAGATATGGCGTGTGTTGACATCAAAGCTGGCTTTCTTGGATTTAAAAGATTTGTTTGTCTGTTCTGTTCTTCTCTACTATTTTAGAGTATTTGAAAAAAGATTTGGTTCCAGAAAATTTAGTGTAAGTTCTTAATTTTCTATTTTGTTATTTTACACTTATAATTTATCAGATTTATACATGTAGATATCAAAACTTTATTTTGTAATAGAGTTACCAGTTAAAAATATCAGAATTGATATGATAAAAAAATAAATTGAAATAACAAGAAAATATTGGTTTTGTAATGAGGATAATTTTTCATAATACTTGTAATTGTGCTAACACCAGTATAGAGCCCGAGGCACTGATTTTTTCCCAATTTACATTTTCTTTAAAACCATGCAGTTTTCCCCCAAAAAATCTGAACTTACACAGCTTTTTGACTTCCCAAATTAGCAATTTAAAGATGATTTTTTCATGAAATCAAGAGGCTAAGGCCTTTCCTTTTTTATCAACTGTGATCAGGATACAAGGATGTGCAGGCTGGCCTGTCTGTGTACTGGGGGCAAAGCTGATCACTTTCGGTTCTAGCATGTTAAATTTTAATCTTTTTATTGAGACCTGAAAATGTAATATTAATGGGGAAAAGACTTAAAATATATTAGCAGATTATTGTATTGAAGGGGAATAATTTACTGATAAAAAAGTGATTCAATAATATGATAAAAAAGTGTTTCAATGATATTACAATATTTTCAGTCTTATCTGCTAGGGTCAGGAGTGCTTACAATATTACTGGAGTTGTTGTGTGTATTTTTGTGTCGGAAATTGGAAGTACCCTTACAGCCTTTACCAACAGGACCGTAAGTTTGACATATTTTTCACGATTTTTCATGTTGTTTTCTTTGTCATTACTGTCAGTAAATATTTGTATATTATTAACTCAAGCATGTTTTTTTCCTACATTACTTTTTTTTGTGAACCTACAATGTTCTAGGTTAAACATTCATTTCCATAACTAATTAGGGTACCATGCATAATTAAATGAAAATTAACACTATCTTCAGGGTCATAACTATAGGTCACAAATCAAGACCCATGTTTCAAGTTTAAATTTGCATAGAAAATTTCTCTTTTGCAGAAATTATAATTGTTTCCATATTTATTGTAACAGCCATTAATATACGGTCATATAACCTGACAATAATCTCTATAACAAATGAGCCACGTCACAACAAAAGCAACATAGTGCGTTTGCGACCAGCATGGATCCAGACCAACCTGCACATCTGATCAGGATCCATGCTGTTCGCTATCAGTTTCTATACTTGTAATAGAGTTGGTAAGCGAACAGCATTGATCCTGATCAGACTTCGCGGATGCGCAGACTGGTCTGGATCCATGCTGGTCCCAAACGCACTATGATGCTCTTGTCGTGACTCGGCTCATTAATTTATAATAATGTAAAACATCCTTTATTTGAGAAAGAATGGAATTATGTACTTCATAACATGACAGTAGCTGTGTATATAGCTAATGTAATCCCCATGATTATCCAATGAAAAGGGTCATTACAAAATTAATGCTCAATGTTATTATAATTGTATGTATTTGCAGGTTATGCATAATATATCCATTATTTGTGCCATTTTTCTGTGATATTCCACGAGTTGCACTCTCACATGTATGGGGTGTGCCAATGACGGGGAAATCTATTTCATATATCCTAGGCTTGCAGGCAGCCAGTACTTCACCTGAGTCATTAGTAGTGGCAATTTGTGGCTTGGTGAGTTAACATCATGTTGTCATCTTTTAAATAATAATACAATTATTAACATGATAGGCTGGTGTTATGCACACATTTCAAATAACTTATGTAAAGCATACATTTTTGTAAGCTGGTAAGATGAACGAAAAAGTCAATAAACAGATGACTGGTAAATGAGATAAGAGCAGTGACAGTATCTTGAAAAAGTTTCCATATTCCTTAACCTGCTGAATTTGTATAATGGATTTGCCCAGCTTTGAATTTGGAACATTCTGTTTGAATTTTACGAGATTCAATAAACAAAAGACATGTTCTTAAATTGAGCTGCTACTAGTATAGAGAAAATATAACCTAGTCAGACGGCACTGACTGACAGGCATAAGCAAAAAAACACAACAAAACTGATTCAACTATATATGAAAAATTAAGTGTTCAAGGAAGTGGCACATAATATATTCATACACAAGAATTAAACTTGAAATGTCATGTATAAAGTACCTGTAGTTGTAATCCTAATTTTAATTTCTCATAATCAGACAAGCCACACAAACACGAACATTTAGTAATTAAATTTAATATGCCTTCATCAGTGCAAAACATAATAATGATTTTTTTTTTTTTTTTTAATTTCTCTATATTCAAAAAATGCCACATGATTTTTTCAGATATATTATAAGCTTCATGTAAGCACTTTTTCCCAAAACATTCAGAAAAGGCTGTAATGGGAATATTTGCTGTTTCAAGAGTGAACTATAAAGCAAGAAACTGTGCTAACTTCATGTATGTAATTTCCTTTCAAACAGGTGGCTGGTATTTTATGGAGAGTTAATTTTCTACACTTACAATCAGTTATTAAAGTACCACATTGTTTGGCGAGATTATGTCATCATACTATTGGCAGACTTTTCAACTCCAAAGATGTACACGAAAATACAACACACATAGGAGCTACAATTGGTAATTTTAGAGATACATTATTAATGTGAATAAGAACATTTTTTATTAGCTTGTCTGTTTTGAAAAAAAAAAAGTAGCTTATAATTATGTATTAGGTCCGATTTTTTGAAGAAAGAAACTGGAGCTATTGTCAGGACCTTGGTGTCCGGCGTTGGTTAACCTTTTCTTTAAGGTCCAATTTCTCAGAAACTATAAAAGCTGTACACTTCAAACTTGGTATACATGTTAGTTGTTATAAAGGATGTCATTTCAAAAAGGGAGACAATCCTCGATTTTTTTTTCAAAGTTATGCCCCTTGCTCTTATTGCTATATTTTTTTAACACTCTTGCACCACACTGCTCCTTTGGCAACTCTTGTTTATTGTACATTCTAACACATCCGAACTCCAAACACTGATGTTATTGATATATTATTTCTTAAGTAGATAATTACATGGCCTAGAATACATGTAAATCATAATCTTTTGAAAGTTATAGAAAATATAAAATAAGTGATTTAAAAATAAATCATTTTCGAGTTTACTATCCAATGGTTTATTTTACTTTTTAGCTCACCTGTCACAAAGTGACAGGGTGAGCTTTTGTGATCGCTTTTCGTCCGGCGTCCGTCCGTCCGTGTTCGTCCGTCCGTCCGTCCGTAAACTTTTACTTTAAATGACATCTCCTCATAAACCACTAAGCCAATTTCAACCAAACTTAACAGGAATGTTCCTTTGGTGGTCACCTTTAAAAATTGTTCAAAGAATTTAATTCCATGCAGAACTCTGGTTGCCATGGCAACCGAAAGAAAAAACTTTAAATATCTTCTTTTAAAAAACCCTAAGAGCTAGAGCTTAGATATTTGGCATGAAACATCTTCTAGTGAGTGTCTACCAAGTTTGTTCAAATAAAAGCCCTGGGGTCAAAATTGGCCCCGCCCCAGGGGGTCATTGATTTTCCCTATATGCATATAGTAAAAACTTAAAAAATCTTCTTTTAAAGAACCCAAAAAGCTAGAGCTAAGATATTTAGCATGAAACATGTTCTAATGGGTGTCTACCAAGTTTGTTCAAATAAAAGCCCTGGGGTCAAAATTGGCCCCGCCCCAGGGGGTCATTGATTTTCCCTATATGCATATAGTAAAAACTTAAAAATTCTTCTTTTAAAGAACCCAAAGAGCTAGAGCTAAGATATTTAGCATGAAACATCTTCTAATGAGTGTCTACCAAGTTTGTTCAAATAAAAGCCCTGGGGTCAAAATTGGCCCCGCCCCAGGGGGTCATTGATTTTCCCTATATGCATATAGTAAAAACTTAAAAAATCTTCTTTTAAAGAACCCAAAAAGCTAGAGCTAAGATATTTAGCATGAAACATGTTCTAATGGGTGTCTACCAAGTTTGTTCAAATAAAAGCCCTGGGGTCAAAATTGGCCCCGCCCCGGGGGGTCATTGATTTTCCCTATATGCATATAGTAAAAACTTTAAAAATCTTCTTTTAAAGAACCCAAAGAGCTAGAGCTAAGATATTCAGCATGAAACATTTTCTAATGAGTGTGTACCAAGTTTGTTCAAAAAAATCCCTGGGGTCAAAATTGGCCCCGCCCCAGGGGGTCATTGATTTTCCCTATATGCATATAGTAAAAACTTAAAAATTCTTCTTTTAAAGAACCCAAAAAGCTAGAGCTAAGATATTCAGCATGAAACATCTTCTAATGAGTGTCTACCAAGTTTGTTCAAATAAAAGCCCTGGGGTCAAAATTGGCCCCGCCCCAGGGGGTCATTGATTTTCCCTATATGCATATAGTAAAAACTTAAAAATTCTTCTTTTAAAGAACCCAAAGAGCTAGAGCTAAGATATTTAGCATGAAACATTTTCTAATGAGTGTGTACCAAGTTTGTTCAAATAAAAGCCCTGGGGTCAAAATTGGCCCCGCCCCAGGGGGTCATTGATTTTCCCTATATGCATATAGTAAAAACTTAAAAAATCTTCTTTTAAAGAACCCAAAGAGCTAGAGCTAAGATATTCAGCATGAAACATCTTCTAATGAGTGTCTACCAAGTTTGTTCAAATAAAAGCCCTGGGGTCAAAATTGGCCCCGCCCCAGGGGGTCATTGATTTTCCCTATATGCATATAGTAAAAACTTAAAAAAATCTTCTTTTAAAGAACCCAAAGAGCTAGAGCTAAGATATTCAGCATGAAACATCTTCTAATGAGTGTGTACCAAGTTTGTTCAAATAAAAGCCCTGGGGTCAAAATTGGCCCCGCCCCAGGGGGTCATTGATTTTCCCTATATGCATATAGTAAAAACTTACAAAATCTTCTTTGAAAGAACTCAAAGAGCTAGAGCTAAGATATTCAGCAGGAAACATCTTCTAATGTGTGTCTACTTAGTTTGTTCAAATAAAAGCTCTGGGGTCAAAATTGGCCCCGCCCAGGGGGACATTGATTTTCCTTATATGTGTATAGCAAAAACTTAAATAATCTTTGAAAAAACCCAAATAGCTAGAGTTTAGATATTAAGCATGAAACATCTTCTAGTGAGTGTCTACAAAGTTTGTTCAAATAATAGTCCTGTGGTCAAAATTGGCCCCGCCCCGGGGGGTCTTGATTTTCCCTATATATGCATATAGTAAAAACTTAAAGTCTTCTTTGAAAAAACCCAAATAGCTAGAGTTAGATATTAAGCTTGAAACATCTTCTAATAAGTGTCTACAAAGTTTGTTCAAATAAAAGCCCCGGGGTCAAAACTGGCCCCGCCCCAGGGGTGTCACTGTTTTTAACTATATGTGTGTAGTAAAAACTTACAAAATCTTCTTTTAAAAAACCCAATGAACTAGAGCTTAGATGTTTAGCATGAAATATCTTCTTATGGATGACTACCAAGTTTGTTCAAATAAAAGCCCTTGGGTGAAAATTGGCCCTGCCGGGGGGTGGGGGGGGGGGAAGGGGAGGACAGGGGGATGAGATCATTGTTTTTCATTACATGTGTGTAGTAAAAGCTTAACATTGTGAAACATCTTCTAATGAGTGTCTTCCAAGTTTGTTCAAATAAAAGCCCTGGGGTTTAAACTGGCCCTGCTCCGGGGGCCTATATGCAGGTGAGCGACCTCAGGGCCATCATGGCCCTCTTGTTATGTTTTCTCCCATGTTTTGAGTAACGTATCAACCTGTGAGCTCTGCCTTTTCAGTCAACTATCAAATTGTATATTTCTCTTTTACGTTTGTGGATTTGTTAGATCAGCTTATTAACAAAAGAGAGCAAACTAAATCTACATCTGTGCAACTTTTTCTCATATTTAGCAATTAGTAAAGCAGTCTCTATATATTATCATGATATACTGTGATAAGATAATCCACATACCGATAACTGTTTGATCATCTCTTGCCTCAAAACAGAGAAATTTAAGCAGTATTGACTATGTTGGCTGTAGAATAACACTCCATTGTACATTGTATTATTATACCCCTGCATACGAAGTTTGTGGGGGTATACCGTCAGGTGGTGGTTGCTTGGTTGCGCAGTCCGTTGAAGATTTCTTGTCCGGGACATAAATCAGAATGTTTAATAGATATCATTTTGAAACTTTATAGGTAGATAGTTCTCACTGAAGAAGTGCATTGCAGAAGTACTGTAACTCTCCTTTCCCTTGTTTTGGAGTTCTTGCCCTTTGTTCGTTTTTACACTTTGAACATTGTCCATGACATTACCTAAGAATAAAAGGTATCAACATGAAACTATGTACGTAGATATATCTCACAGAGTAATGCAGAAATTTCAGGGAGATAGAAGGTATTAACGGTATAAGAAGCCATGAAAACTCCAAATCCAAACTTTATTGATGGATGTAGGACAAATTATTCAAAAACATTTGAAAACTATCTATAAACTACTGCATTCTCCTTATGTGCAAAATTATTAACTGAAAAGCATATTTTCTGACAAGTGTGTGTTGGGGGTATTCGGCACTTGTAACATTTCTATTTTCTTTTTATTGAACTGCTTAAAATTACCTTCCGCAATATTTGCTTGTTTGTTTGTTGTGGGTGTTTTTCACATTTATATACATGTACTGTTGTATAAGATAGGCAAAAAAAGTTGAAAACTGAAAAAAAAAAACACAACTGTTGTATATTTTTAATGTAGAAATACAGAGACAAGAAGCAATGGAAAGATTAGAACAACAAGTTATATGGAGATCATTACAGAACTCCAGACATCAGCCACAGGTATGACTGGTTCCTATTAATTTGACTGGTTCCTAATAGTTTGAGTGGTTCCTAATCATTTGACTGTTTTTAGCTCACCTGTCACAAAGTGACAGGGTGAGCTTTTGTGATCGCTTTTCGTCCGGCGTCCGGCCGTCCAGCATCCGTAAACTTTAACTTTAAATGACATCTCCTCATAAACCACTAGGCCAATTTCATCCAAACTTCACAGGAATGTTCCTTTGGTGGTCACCTTTGAAAATTGTTCAAAGAATTTAATTTGTTGCAGAACTCTGGTTGCCATGCCAACCAAAAGAAAAAACTTTAAATATCTTCTTCTAAAAAAACCCAAAGAGCTAGAGCTTAGATATTTGGCATGAAACATCTGCTAGTGAGTGTCTACCAAGTTTGTTCAAATAAAAGCCCTGGGGTCAAAATTGGCCCCGCCCCAGGTGGTCATTGATTTTCCCTTTATACATATAGAAATAACTTAAAAAATTTTCTTTTAAAGAACCCAAAAAGCTAGAGCTAAGATTTTTAGCATGAAACATCTTCTAATGGATGTCTACCAAGTTTGTTAAAATAAAAGCCCTAGGGTCAAAATTGGCCCCGCCCTAGGGGGTCATTGATTTTCCTTATATGCATATAGTAAAAACTTAAAAAATCTTCTTTTAAAGAACCCAAAGAGCTAGAGCTAAGATATTTAGCATGAAACATGTTCTAATGGATGTCTACCAAGTTTGTTCAAATAAGAGCCCTGGGGACAAAATTGGCCCCGCCCCAGGGGTCATTGATTTTCCTTATATGTGTATAGCAAAAACTTAAAAAAATTTCTTTGAAAAAACTCAAATAGCTAGAGTTTAGATATTAAGCACGAAGCATCTTCTAGTGAGTATCTACAAAGTTTGTTCAAATAAAAGCCCTGGGGTCAAAATTGGCCCCGCCCCGGGGGACATTGATTTTCCTTATAATTTTTTTTATGTGTATAGCAAAAACTTAAAAATCTTCTTTGAAAAAACCCGAATAGCTAGAGTTTAGATATTAAGCATGAAACATTTTCTAGTAAGTGTCTACAAAGATTGTTCAAATAAAAGCCCTGGGGTCAAAACTGGCCCTGCCCCAGGTATGTCATTGTTTTTAACTATATGTGTAAAGAAAAAACTTGAAAAAAATCTTCTTTTAAAAAACCCAACAAGCTAGACCTTAGATGTTTAGCATGAAACATCTTCTACTGGGTGTCTACTAAGTTTGTTCAAATAAAAGCCCTTGGGTTTAAACTGACCCCACTCTGGGGGCCTATATAAAGGTGAGCGACTTCAGGGCCATCATGGCCCTCTTGTTTTTATAATTTGACTGATTCCAGTGTTATTTGACCAGCTCCTAATAATTTGACTGGTACTTGTTAACTTTACTGGTTCCTTTTGATTTGACTGGTTCCTAATCAATTCACTGGTTCCTTATAAATTGACAAGAATTTAGATGATTGTTATTCTCTGAGACTTAATAGAAATTGGAGACATGTTTTTGAATGAATTCTTACCTCAAATGTGTATGCTGCAATATATAATATAATCTACATGCCACTGCATATCCTTCCTTTACACTTGAAACATCTAGATTTTAATTTTGAAGTGTTAGTTTTATGTATAAAGATTAAATTGAGGTAAAAACAAGCAATTTTGTGTTATTGTCTACTTTCAGAACCTGGTGAATGGTCCCGGTATATTTGGAGGTATAAATAACAATGATCAGGATGACCTCCGGCAAAGAATAGAAGGTATTTTATACTTTATAAGAGGTGTCATGTTATCATTTTATTAAAATTGATAACAGGTTTTGGTCAGTTTTTACAAAAAAAAAAACAACAGAAAATTCAATAATCAGTGACCACGCAGAAGAAATTTTTATTAACATTACTTTGGTTTCTTTATACTATGACATTTTGTTTGTATTTAAATTGTATTTTTTTTTCTGATCAAAACAAAATAAAAGCACAATTGTAAAACACTAATACTCTTGTCAAATAACATGTTTATGGTTAAATTTTATGAATTTTGAAATCTTAAAATTCAAGTTTAATTAAGTTGGCAAAAGGAAACTTTCAACCAAAGGTGTATTGTATCTAACTATGAAGTTTATACCTTAAGGTAGTCTTACTGTAATGCTTTCTCGCCAAAAAGAATATTAACATCGGCCAATATTGTACCATTACGATTATTTCTGGAACGTTATTTTTTCAAAATCTTGGGCATTAGATTATTTACAATAGCTCATCCTTTATCGCTATGTACTAAATTCCAGTTATAAAAGTTTAAAGATTATTGAATACTGAGATTGTGAAAAATAACGATCCGGAAATGACTGATTTATTATGATATTGGCAGATGTTAGATTTTTTTTCTGGAAAGCATTGCAGTCAGACTATCTTAAGGATAAATCCATATTCTGGCCAAAGTTTCATTTGTCCATAAAGATACAGAGAAATGTGCGAAAGAAAAGACAGCAAAATAAATACGTCTATCTGTTTGTTGGAAGGTGCAGGTCATTAAATGAATAATAAAATTTGTTTCCCAATATTATCTGAGATAATGTTAAGTTTAGTTTCATTCTCTTTTTTCCATTCTCTCTTTTTAGAAGATGTTGAGGAAATGGAAGTATCAGAAGAACAAGTACAACACATGGTGGAGATGGGGTTTAGTCAGGATCAAGTTAGACATGCTCTTCAAATGTCAAATAATGATGTTTCCATGGCAACCAACTTCTTATTGCAGCAAAATTAATATTTTATGGTGATAATGAATAAAGTAAGATTACAGTATGAATAAAATGTGAGAATACTATGAATAAAATCTTGGAAGTCAGTAAAGAATAAACTGGTGGTCAGTATGAATAAATTCTGAGAATACTATGGATAAAGTCTTGAAACCATTATGGATTAAACTAGAGGACAGAACGAATAAAATATGAGAAAAGTATGAAGAAAATCTGAAAATAATATAAATAAAGTCTTAGAACCATTATGGAATAAATCACAGTGCTGAATGAATAAAATCTGAAAATGTATGAAGAAATTCTGAGAATATTATGAATAAAGTCTTTGGAGCCAGTATAAACTTGAGGATTGTATGAATAAAATCTGAGAATAATATGAAGAAAATCTGACAATATTTTGGATAAAGTTTTGGAACCACTATGTATTAAAGCAGGGGACAGAATGAATAAAATCTGAGAATAGTATGAACAAAATGAATAGTATGAATAAAATCTGAAAATACTATGAATAAAGTGTGGAACCAGTATGGATTAAACCAGAGGCCTGTATGAATATAATCAGATTGCAGTATGAATAAAATCTGAAAATTGTTGAATAAAATCACCCAGCAGACTTGAGCTACTGTGATGAGTAAAAACCAGAATATTAGAAAATCTTTGGTTTATTTTACATGTGATAATTCCTTGGCAGAAAGACTTTGTAAGAAATCTGCATCAAAACACTGTTTTATAAAATTAAGTTATTTATTGCTGAATGCCTGTCCTGCAGTAGTACGGTGAAACCTATTCCGAGTGGCCTTCTGTAGAACAACTTTGAACTACATGATGTAACCTTTTACAGCAACAGTTACAATGTTTGTACAAAGTGATACTTCATAATATTTTAAACTTGTCTATTGTAACACCTGTCAACAACAACCAGAATCTTTGCTGTTCAGTGAGTGCTGTTCTGCAGAAGTTGTTCTGTATTTATTTTTTACATTGACAGGCAGTTAAGGAATGTTGCTAGAGTATTGAGCACTACTTATACAATTATTGTGAATAATTGTTATCTCAGAATTGTTCATGAAAAATAATTTGCCTCAAATACCAGCAGGGACTGAAAGTGATATCCTTTGCAATCATTATAGAGCCAGACCAGCTTGCCAGTCAATGCAGTCTGACTTAGCACTTTTACCGTCAACTGACCAATTTCAAATTTTCATAATGATATCCCCGAAATGGATAATGGTCTGTTCCAAAAATGGAACCAGGACAATTCTATGTAAGAAATTCAGTAGACATTCGGTAAAATATTTGATACTTTGATAAAGTCATAGACATATGGTCTGCTTATTTAGCTGAACACGAAGGGTATGAGATGAGATTCAATTATAAATCGGCCTAGTCAATATTTTAATAGTGGATATAAGGGATGTTGTCTTGTGTAATCCAACATAGTTCATTGGATTAATTGTTACATTATATTCTATATGTATTTAGTTAAGTTTGTTGAAGTTTTTCTGTAGCAATGTTACTGGGAAATCGTATACACTTTTCTTACAAGTCTGTGTTATTTGTCTATCAAATTCATGCAAAATTAAAAAATTTGACCTTAAAAGTCAAGGTCATTTATGAGTCAAGGTCAAATTTAGTTTTTTTTAGTTGAAGGGTAGTTGTGTCCAAGTATGAAGACAAATCATTAAGAAATAATAAAAAAATATCTGGATGGGACTGAGAACAGACACCAGGACTGTAGTAATAGCTAAAACATTTTTCTTTTAAAAAATCAAGCTAAAAATGACTTGACGTCTAAGGTCAGCTGTCAAAGAGAATTTTAAAGGAACTCCACTGAGGTTTATAAGCCTAAAAACATTAAATTTTATTTTTTCACATAGAAAAACAGGAACACTTAAAACAGAAATATCAATAAAATATAATCAAGACATATACAAGAAATACATTGAAAATCATATGTTTGTGCTATTCTCAGTCCGATTTGATGATAAAAAAACATTTAAACGCTTTTCATTTTTGGGTCATTTTTCACTATTATATTAATTATTCTGAAAAAACAGAGCCCGCAAATGATCTGAAATTTGCACATAAGTTTTAAGTATAGATCTACATCAAATGGAGTAATAATTTCAAAAAAAATATTTTTAGTTCCGTCATGTGAAAAAACCTCAGTGAAGTCCCTCCTCACCTAAGCTTGGATTGCAAATCTGAAGCTCTCCCTACAGAACTGTGCAAGCCGGTCAGAGTTCAAACTATGTGCTCTATTTATCATCTATATATGTATTGTGTCTTTTACCGTTTTCCTGCTAAATTAAAAAAATAGTTTTTGTAATAAATTCTACATAGTAAGAAACCCCCACTCCTTTGAAGAGGAGAAATAAGATTGTGTAGATTTGTTTACCTTTTGACCATCACATGTCAAATTTCCACAGTTTACCATTTGACCTTCACATGTCAAATTTCCACGGTTTACCATTTGACCTTCACATGTCAAATTTCCATGGTGTAGTTTACGAAACACTGTCAATTGGTTGATGCCACTTTGAATTTGGTGAAAACAATTTCCTTTCATTAATTCTGGATCATAATATCTTATAATAATGTCATTTTACATCCCAGACTAACTTGATGAACATTTAGCAGAGAGCCTGGTCATTGAAAGTCATAATATTAGAGATTATCTATTAAAGGATGTGGAATAGCTGACAAACTTGTGTTTTTTTTTTGTCAGCAATACAATGGCCTATAATATTTGTGCAGACATATAGTGGACTCCTAAAGCATCACATCTCCAGACTTTGAAATTTACTAGTTTTAAACAGTAAGAAAATTGTGTCAAGTTAACAGTTATTTGAGCAAGCTTAATATATTGGCTTGCGCTTGTTGCAATATGTAGTTACAACATTGCCTATGATTTCAACTGATTATGTGTGTCTTGTGACATCACATTTTATGTCATCAAAACAGCTAGCTGTAAAATGGTATGAAATGCTTGAGAATATAACAGTTATTTGTACAAACACGGATTTATTGAAATTTTATGTTAAAGAATATGACAATTTTATTTACTAGTGGACTTTGCATAAACATAAGGGAAGGAACTCTGTAGAAGTTACTGTAGAAACTGCCGAAATAGGTATTTTAATTACAGAAATATCAACGTGATTAAAAAAAGTGCTACTGTTAAATCTATCGAGTGTATTAAAATCTTTTATATGTGAGTAAAACTAGCTGGAAAGTGATAATTGGCCTTGAAATGAAGGATGCCCTCTGGCTGAAGCTTTTGAAACCTTGATTCATTTTGCAGACAGGTTATCACCATCTGGCCTTACAGTGCCAAGTATTAAACCTCTTAGTATTAGGGTAGAAATGTGGCGATCAAATACTCAATTCAACACTATTGTTTTGTTTGTATCACATGTTTAAGCAAGTTTGTTAATACAATGTCTTTGTATTTTTGTAAACTTCAGTTTGATTTTTTCCCATCTTAATTTGCTCATCTGGTGGCGCACCACTTTAATGTACAAATGTACATGTATTTGTTTATGCACTAGTCAATTGAAACAACACTGTCCGAATACAGTAATCTTGGATCATTGGATTTCCATGCTGGAGATTGGGGATAAAAAATAATAAAAAGCTTTCAGGACACTGCCATTTTGGATATACATTTTGTATTCCCTGTCCATTTTGACACCAAAACAAAAGCAATGTATTGACAAGGCAGATAAAACTTTGCTAACTTTCCGAAGCTATCCCCAGCACTTCTACAGGGATGGGTTGCCACGGTTACGATTGACTGGTACATTGTAAACTGTATGTGTCTTGTCATGTCCGCTTTGATTTATATTAAATCAGGCAAAGAAATTTTATATATTAAACTAATGTCGTGTCATAATAGTTAATGGATTTATTTTTAAACTTATTTATTAATTTTTATAGATAAATATTGAATACATACACATGTTTTTGTTGCTACAAACTATGAGCAAAATGGAGTTAATATTATGTATAAGGAGTTAAAGCAGCTGTATTTTGTTTAAAATTGTAACAAGTTTTATAGATAAAAGTGATTACCGATACATGATATGTTCTGTGTTTTTCTTGCTTTTCGGAAAAAAAACAACATTTGATTAGACGAGATAGATATTAATAAATTATTATCTAGAACTCAGCAAGTGTGGGGTTTCACATCTAATCTCAGGTACAAACTATTACCGTTATAGCTCCACAGTGCGCAACAGTTCTCATTAGAGTGGTCAAGGCATTGTACTTATTATCGATTTACTTAACAAATTGTAACTGTAAAAGTTTGTATTGCTGGGATTAGCTGGGAAATACGCAGATTTTCTGAGTTCCAGAGTATCTGGATTGTGCAATGAGCATAATGGCAGCCATAAGAAAGGACAAGGATTATAATGAATTACTTTTTAAACCATTGCCATGATATAAAATAGCCTTTTTAGGCTAGGAAATAATAGTCATAAGAAGTATGTCTGTGGTATACAGTGAAAGTTTTTAGGATTAATTTGTAATTCAGGATTTCAGATTTTAAAAGACTTTTGTTCTGTGAATGTGACACCAACACTGTAAAGATCTTAATATTATAGCAACATTCCAGATTTACTGATGGATGAAGACCTTAGCTGCCCTTTTTATTTTATTTTTGCTGGAACAACCACCACGAAAATTCTGGAACCGAGTCTGACAGCTTCCACACTTAAAAGAATCCAAGGTCTCTGACAGGAATCAAACCTTCAGCAGTGAGAGGGAAAAGTAATGAGCCAACAGAATGGGTTTGCGACCAGCATGGATCCAGACCAGCCTGCACATCCGTGCAGTCTGATCAGGATTCATGCTGTTCGCTATCAGTTTCTCTACTTGTTAAAGGGTTTGTAAGTGAACAGCATGGATCCTGATCAGACTGCGCGGATGCGCAGGCTGGTCTGGATCCATGCTGGTCGCAAACCCATTATGTTGGTTTTGTCATGACACGGCTCAAATTAATTTGGCAACCTTAAGTTAACTTCTCGTCCTAGGACCCCTTCAGGCATGAGCCGGTACCTCAGAAGAAGCATCAACCTAAACTAGCATGGTATCTTACTTCCTCACCATCATTTAATACAAAGTTCTTGCCAAGGTTTCAAACTCACAATGGTAAGGGGCAAGCAATTCTATTATTCAGCAACCTTAACCACGTAGCCATTAAGCCACCTATATGAACTCCTATAAAACATATAAATCATTAATTATATTCAAACCAATAATTTCACTTTAATCAAAAAGTTTGTTGGCCATAATGGGGATAAAAAAGAAAACACACAGAAACGTATCAATTTTACAAAATATGTTCTTTCACAAAAATTGTTCATAGATGAAATATCAGAACACTGTGATAGAAGTTTTTTCAAACAAATAACAAAATGATAAGCTATTAATCATAGATTGCTCAAATACCAACATATTCACAAATTCAACTTGTGCACTACACATGTACCTGTACAACCAAACTCTACATATGATATTTATAATTTTTTTCATAAAAAAAAATCACGAAATCATGTTGTCGAAAACATCCTTTCTAAAACCCTGAACCTATTTGAATCATGCGATAAACCTTTGCCACCAGTATAGAGACAGGTCAGCCTGTATGATCCGTGTAGTCTGACAAGGTTCTATACTGTTGGTTGACTAACTTTTGATAACCCAAAGAAATAATAATAGCCATATCCAAGTCAGTTACACTAATTTAGCATGTTAAATTTTATCATAGTTTAGAGACTTTTCTATTGTAATGTGCCAAAAGTTAAATCGTATACCCATACATGCACAGTGTATTAACTTGGGTGCAGGTATTAGTTACCCACACTCCAGTTACCGCAGTGTCTGTCGGAGATATAGAAAAAAAGAGTATGCTCATTGATCTGGTTTACTTATTGTGCCCCCTCATACAAATCAAATAGCCTTGTGTTTCGATGCTCTTTCTATAACTTAAGGATTTCATTATGACATTGCAAATAAAATTAGTTTGACAAAGTCAGTATTTTTATCACTGCATTCAATCAAGACATGGTATGATGGATAAATTTACAGTTTGCAAAAAAATAAACAAAAAACAGTTGCAACAAAAAATGTCCATGTTGGCTGTCAGTAATAAACATATGATGCTATTTATAGATGAGAAAATGATTCCATGAGTAACTGTCAGAAGATGTAGTTTAGTTAAAAAACATGTTCCAATATCATTGCCTAAAAAGACCTAATTTTTTATTAAGATACTAACAGTACAGGTTTTTAGAAGAAGAAAAATGTTACACTACTCTCATCTAGGAGTAAAATACATGTAATGTTCATGTAGAAATTTAATGAAAACTAGGAAATTCTTACTGGACATGTCAAACTTGAATGGGACAATGTAAGAACTATGTTTGTGAAGCTGCATTCCTTATTTCTGGTCAAGATAATGTGGCCCTTTCTTAAAAAAGAACACACACACACAAAGGAAAACAACAAACAAAACTGCTAGTTTTTGTAATACTCTATGCATTCACAAAGCGTTAACCTTTTGTGTGTAGGATTTAGAACGTAACATACTGTCTCTGCAAGTACTCATAAGATTTTTTTTTACATTTAAAAGAGAGACTGTAAAGCAATCATCAGTATTTTCGAATAGGGGGCCTATCCAATAATATATATGTTAAACATTTAAGTTATTCAGCCCGTGTTAGGAAATGATTAGAAAACTAGAATCCATGTCAAACTTTGTATGCAACATGCAAAAAATAAAAAAAGAACCTGACTAAATTCATTACTATCTGTACCACATTTAAACCCTGTTACTTAAAAAGTTTTACATAGATCGTCAACCACTTCCAATAGCTGAACTTTTTTTGTTTGTTCATTTGACACCACTTTTACTATTGAAAATAAACTTTTTATAGTTACACAAGTATGAATCAGGCTACAAATTGCTTTAAAGGTCTACAATAACTTTTTCCAATTTTATCTCAAAATTCCAAGACTTACTTATTTGTCTATTGGTTGTTTGGTTTATACACGATTGTGTAGGAAGCAATAAGATTATAGACACACTTTCGTTCCTGGAACCAACTAGTCCTGAGCAATAAAGCTAAAGTTTCTTGCACAAGGGAACTACTTGAAACGGTACTTGACCCCCGACGGGGTTTGAACCCATGTGGCTAGCTTCAAAGACACTATTGTAGCTATATGTTTTCAAGCACTTGCATTTTTTTTAAACTTGGTATGAACGTTTTTTTCACACATTTCTTCTGTTTAAGTTCTGGAAAAGTAAAAGTTATATCCATGTTTTTTGTTAAAATACACAAATAACAGAAATTAAGGACAGTAAAAATTTGGATCAGATCTAATCATTAAAAAAAAAACTGAAGAAAATAATTTGCTACATCAAAAAGTATTTTTTCAAAAGTTTTTTTTTGTTGCCTCTTAAACTTAATAAATGTTACATGTAGCTATAAAACGGCAGTTTTAAATCAATTTTTAAAGGTGATCACGTTGGCACATGCTGACAATTTCATCAAGACAACTCCTTGCTGGAAGAGAATCGTTGTGGTTCTTCAAGAATTATTGTAGTAAAAGTATAAACCTAGGTGGAGCTGCTGGCCCTCAATGAGCATGTATGACACAAGAATCAAACCTTTGCATGATTTACATTACAGAAGTCAAGCGAAAGTCAAGTGTTTTATTTTTTTTTAAATCTTTGATTATGATAATTACACAGTATATGCCTCCAAGATACTGCCATGCAAACTGACTGGAGCCTCTACTGTTTGGTGATTAATTTAAAGAGGATAAGTTACAATGGGCACATTTCCCTATGTATTTTAAATATTGATAATCATTAAATACTGCTTGAAAAAAAAAAATGTTGATGAAGTTCTAAGTAATTTAGAATGACCAATCTGATATTAATCCGCCTTCATATAACATCGGCTACTTTCAAGTCAAATTCATTACACAAATATTGTGGCTAAACTCAGAGTTTATGTATTACATTTTAAAATAACAGTCAAGGGAGTTTGCAAGTAAATAGAGCCAGAAGTACATCCAGAAAATTTGACATAGTGACTTTAATACTTCGGAAGGAAAACTGACCAACAAACATCAGATAAATTTTCCTGTTTCTATCATTAAGTAATAATTGTTGCCTTAGTACAGTAACATGCTAAATCCTATAAACTATATAAGGAGTTTAATGTGTTCTGCTCTAAGGTGACAAATTATGTTATCAATTTTTCCTGAACTATGACTTAAATATTACAAAAATAACATGTACATTGGGTATTCCAGCATCTTTAATAAATAAATAACCATTACAAAGTATCTCAATAGTTGCACAAAATAAAGAATAAATGAAAATGTTCATATGCTGTTACAACTTCATGGACACATTTTCTAACATGGCTGTCGTCATATCAGATTTGTCAGTCATAATTCATCGACCTATATATACATGTATATTACAACAAAAACAAAATCATATTTTGTAAAAATAGCACTGATGATAAATTGAATACTAAGCACAAGTTCATTTCTCATTGAAATTTAGGTTCTGAAAAGAGAAAATCAACTTTACTCTGAAATTTGTATACAAACAATTCTCCCTGATAAACAATCATATAGTACACAAAATCAAATGAGCCGTGTCACAACAAAACCAACATAATGGGTTTGCGACCAGCATGGATCCAGACCAGCCTGCGCATCCGTGCAGTTCGCTATCAGTTTCTCTACTTGTAATAGAGTTGGTAAGCGAACAGCATGGATCCTGATCAGACTGCGCGGATGCGCAGGCTGGTCTGGATCCAAGCTGGTCGCAAACGCACTATGTTGGTTTTGTCGTGACACAGCTCAAATTATATTGTTTTATCTTTTATTTTAGGTCAGGTACTCCTAAAGAGACTCGCTCTTCACTCAGTCAACTCAATTATGCATAACTAAAATATTGTTTAAGTCAACTCAATTATGCATAACTAAAATATTATTTTTCCTCTTCTATATGCAGGCCTTAAAATACTTCTTTCCAATTAAAAAATATATTTCAAGAAAGAAAAGAAAAACGAAAAAAATCTAATTGGGAGTCTGTTGCAAAATGATTATAACTTACTTGAAATAAAAGAAAACTGAAAACGCTATGCACTAAGAACTCTAGTAATTATACACTTAGCACTATGAACTCTGTAATATGCAGGATTGCGTCTTTTAAAATTTTTCTCCTTTAATATATGACTGATGATGTATGATACAAAATTTCACTATCTTTTCATCAAGTTATGATGATCAGCAATGAATCAAACTATTAACAAGATGTGGTCAAAAAAAAAAAAAAAAAAAAGATGCTCCCATCCAAAATCTGTTTACATTACAATAAAAATATTAACAGATTAATGCCTTCTGAAGGTCAAGGTGTTAGGTCTCATTTTCAATGTCATTTATGACAAGTGGTATGCAGTGCAACTTGTTCTTAAAACGAGCATGTCATGACCGAGGTTATAGTTATCCGACAGACAGACAGGAAAAAAGCCAATAAGTCCCTTAATCTAGGAAATAAAAATAGGGCATAATGATGCAAAACTTTCAAAATAATGAAATATTTTCTGGTTTTGCTTGAATAACTAACTAATCCAATATCCAGGAATATTTTCCTCCATTTTCAGACACAATAAGTATGAAAAGGGATACAACGTTGTTTTCTGTAATTATTTTAATGTCTTGTTGTTTTGTTTTTATAATCACAGTATATCACACGCGCGCATTGAGAGAATTCTATGCTACATAGTTGTATGTATTTGGATTATCTTTGTCACGTTCCATGTAGTCTCTATCTATCAAACTTTCTATACGTTTTTTCAAATCTGCCGGCTACAAAAGACAAAAATATTTACACATGATCAATTTTAAAACGTCTTTTAAACAACATTTAATTTTCTTTCTTTTTTTAAACATGCATCAAAGCAGCTGCATTTTATCAACTTATTCGACTCTTTTTAACTTTTACAACACTAAATATCTTAAAAGGACTTGAGTATCTTTCAATTTGAACATTTTAGAAATATTATTAACTGTATGAAAAGCAAACAGTGCAGACCAATATCAAATGGTACAGATGTCCCAGTTAATCTTTGTAAGATTTTAATCTTTTTATAAAGCTTTTTGACCCAAGTTGAGTTCCTTTAATGTGCAAAAGTACAGCACTTTTCTGTTTCAATGTCGAGCCCTCACTGTCTACAATAGATCTTACCTTAACTGGAAATTTGAGTTGATTATATAACTCTGATATCAATAGATTGTGGGTGAGAGTTTTCCGTGTTTTCATGATCCTCACTATAGCTGCATCAACCTGATACTGTCGGTCCTGGAACACTCGCTCCGTTGTACTCACGTTCTCCTCTTGCTGTAATTAAAATAAGTTTCATGTAAATATTACACATATTTCATGTAAATAGTAAAGTATTTCATGTAATTATTTCCATGTTTAATGTAGTAAATACATTAAATTTCTATCTGTCAAACTTCAATTAGGTGATTTTCTCAATGTGTTGGAGTAAAATGAAAGTCCAGTTTTTTTCCCATTATATATTCTTTATTAAAAACTCTTATCATAGTAAAAATTGTATGTGTCCATTTTTGGATGTGTTTCTACATGGTCTGTAAAGAATAATTGAAGAACAGTTTACTATAAAGAAGTCGAAGACCACCGACTTATTTGATATCCAGATTTTTTTTTCTCACAACTTTTCTTGCCATGAAAATGATTGCCGATCAACTTGTATGACGAATTGAATACAGAGTTGTGTGTTCTGACAACCTTTGTATGTGTACCTATGTGTGCTAAGAGGCTTTAAATTGTTATCATTCTAATTGGTGAAGGGGTATTTGAATATGTCACAAGCTTATTGACATCTAGTTATGACTATAATTTAATTGGAAAACAAAACAAAAATCTGTGTGAATATAAATTTGATATATCATGCCATCAAAAAAAGGGAAACAAAAATATTAACATACTGTTTCTTTCATTTGTATTTGATTGATTTTGATTCGGTACAACTTGTGTTTGAAATCATCATTAAACTTGAACTTGTCATCATTCTCAACATCCTTGCCCTGAAATCAAATAAATACATAGTACTGCCCTGCAATTATATAACATCAAATTGCCCTGAAATAATTTAATTAAAACATAATATATTAAACAATTCAACACTTGAGTACAAACAATTCTTGCCCATCTCTTAGCCTTCAATGTTTGCTTAACCAAATGCACAAACACTATATGCTGGTCAAATGAAAATACACCCACTTAAATAGTTCTGTAAATGACAAACAAAATCATTACAGTTAACTTTTTTAAGTTTGACCATGTCAAGGTTACAATTGGTCAAGGTCATATAGGAGATAAGCTCTCTGCTATAGGTTTACTGATTTAAAGTAAAAAACGCTTTAGCTTGAAGATTTTATGGGCAAGGTTAGTTGTCAAAAAGGCAAAAAACCTGTGAACTGAAAAAATCAACAAAATCATTTGCTGATTAGAATACTCAAACAATGAAAACTGACAATTAAAGATTGAACCTCCGAAGATTGAGGAATGACAAAATGACCACAATAACATGTACCTACTGTATTAAAGCAAAACATTTTACCTACCTTAGGTGCTTTCAGAAGTAATCTAGCTTTGCCACAGGCTAATGACTGTAAAGTTCTTCTCAGTTCACTGTCCTCTATATATTATATACAAATCACATTTAACATTGTACTTCAAATGTATGCTTTGCTGAAATTTAACTTTAAGTGAAAAGACATGGTGACCACCTTAGAGCAGTAATAGGTTAACTCCTTACATAATTTAATAGTCCAAGTTAACCTGTTATTGCTATAAGGTGGTCATACTGTCAAATACTGTTTCTCGATTTTATGGTGGCAATGTAGATACAACAAGGTTACAACTGTGATGTAAGCCTGTGTAAACTCCATATTTCACAAAGGAGTATTATTCTGCTAAAGTCCATGCTACAATTATGGGTCTTGGTCAGACAGTGATTAATGATTAACTAAAAGGCATGTTCGATGTTTCTATTGAATACTTGATAGGTAGTGCAGAAAAAAATCTTTACATTCAAAAAGTGGGTATAATTTAGTAAATAATCCATGTTATCAGAATGGGTTTTGGTCTGTGACTTAAGACTATTCTTCATATAGTCAAGCTATAAACAATGTTAGAAATGTTTACCTATAGCTGTGGCCTGTTTAATCTCCTCAAATGAGAAAACGTCACCTTCATTAAATAGCAACAAACATAAAGTCTGGAACAGCGAAACTTGCAGCTCTTTCATACCCTACAATATAAACATACATCTCATTTCTCTATAAAATAAATCACAATGCACATTTATCTTCTAAAATTATCACTAGAAACCTCAGGAATATATCCCCAGTCAGAGAAGTTATCAATACTGAAATTATGTACATTTGTAGAAGTAAAGGATGAAAATGGACACAACTAAGTCAAAAATTTAGTGATCTTACCAGTAGTTAATTTCATATTAATTTAACTCAAAATTACTAAAATCTGTCACCTCTTTTAGTAGTTCTCTTCCAGAAACTATCCAATAGACTGACATAACAAACAATAAACAAGGTTATTACCTAACTTGTTGTGCAGGTATTAAAGCATTCTTACACTATTTTATTAAAAAACATAAAATTTAACCATTGTAGAAAATATTTTCCTACCCCTGAAAAATCTGCTTTTAGTACACAATGTCCGAGGGTCGGCTGCCACTGCAGTTTGCGTCCACTGTGCTTACTAAGGTAAAATGTCTTGAAAATCTCCTGCAGTTTTACCATCTGGATATAAAAATAAACATAGTTTTAGGTTTTCCTTGAATATCAGATATAAGCATACATGCTTAAGCTCATCTGTTAAAGGTAACCACTATCAAAAACCAGCTTTGACAAAATTCTAAGTTAAAAAGGGGCATAACTCCAAAAATATAGCTTTCAGAATTATGCCCCTTGTCTAACAACTGTCATGAAAAGCAAGTATTCCAAGTGTCATTGTGACTTTTAAAATGTTTCTATAATAGGCTACAATAAAAGATAGCATGACAATGACAATGACAATACAGTTATCATAATAGCTTGATTTTTTCTTTGAAACAGAAGAGCTTAAATGATCAAAACAACAAAATCCAATATGTTCTGGTACTTGATGACAATCATAGTTACTGGGAATGCAATTTTTTGTAACAATATGGTGTAAAATACAGCATTGATTCCCTTATTACATTGTGTGAAGGTCTAAAACAAATAATATGCACATGTCTATCACCTACAACCCACCAGTCAAGCAAGTCACAGCTATTTCTGAATTTTACCACAAGTAAAGCACCAAACATACAGGCTTCTTTCTTCAAGTCTTGGGTGGATATAGTTATCCTTTTTGCAAATTAACTTTTTGCAAATTAATTTTTTCTATACTTATATTACAGAGGCCTGTAAAAGACCTCCTCCAAGTGGAAATATTTTTTAATAAAATTATGCAGTTTTCCCAATAATCTGAACTTACATCAGTCTTTTAACTTCCCAAATTAGCAATTTTAGCAATAATTTTCCCTAAAATCATGTGGCTAAGGTTTTTTTCCCCAATAAAGGGAGACAAAAACACTGAAAGTAGAAAATTTTTTAATGTACCCTACCTCACTGGGTAAATGAACATCCATAGGGGTATACGTTGGCCAGTATCCCATTGTCAAGATATTAACTGTCAGCTCCAAATTCTTTGATGCCCTCTCATTTTGTACAGACTAAAACATAAATCAAAGTACAAATACAGTGGACAATAAATAAAGAGGACAAGAAATTAGAAAGAGAACAGCGAGTGTATCTTGATGAAAGTTTTTGTATGTTACTGTATAGTACAAATACAGTGGTAAATCAAACATTTAAGTGTTAGTACAAATACAGTGGTTCATCAAATGTTTAAGCGTTCATTTGTAGTACATATGCATCACATAATAATTTAAATTTATGTTCTTTCTTATTTTGTATTATCCTGACAATCATTAATTTCATTGAAAAAAAAAGAGAGAAAAATTTGCAAGTTTAATACAAAACCTGACTGGATTTTCTATTTATATTACCACATTTCTACTGTGTGACTACTACAATAATGGTGATTATTGTATATCTTGATACATTAACAGTACTGGTAATTCCTATGGACATTTGGTGCCTTAGGCTTGCCTTCTGTACTTTGTGGACACTTGACAAAGTTTTTAATAATAACAAACAATATTTAAAGTTTTCAAAACAACCCAATACCAAGACGCGTTTCAAATCTCACAACATCTTAGAGAAGCCTTTCTTCAGATAAGTTGTTGGGTATAAATATGGTGATGAAAATAGTAAAATTTTGTCATGTTCAGTTCTACATCAAACATGTGAAGTGCCAATGAATTATTACATTTTAGTGTAATTTCCATAACTTTTCTTTTCTGAATTTGTTTACTCATTTGACTCCATGAATCAAATCATTGTATCTTTACAATTATTTACCTGTTTGAAGGCTAACATAATATCTTTTGATAACTCCATGTCTTTAAACATTCCCTCTAACTTCACTGTAAAACCACTTCCACATTCTGAAAATGTAATAATCTTCATATAACTGCATGTACATGTTATCAGATCAGAAAATCTTCAGTAAACGGTTTTTTTTAACCATTATTTTGCATCTTGTACCTGTAAGTTTGTAAATCAACATCTTTATGGAAATAAAAGTTTTTATTAGACAGTTGTAAATGGTTAAGCATTTTAAAGATTTATTGATAAAGGATAGTTTTATACATATATCAGCATTAGAACTGAACAGGATACTATGTTTCTTTCAAACACAAGGGAGGTATAAAGTTAAACAAGTAAACCTTTCATAACCTAGCAGAATAACTTGCCTATATAAAAGATTAAACAAGTCTAAACCCCCTTGTGTTAGCACCATCCGATTAGCTCAATAGGTAGAATGTTTCACTGTAAAGTGGGCTATTCCGGATGGTGCATGTCACTTTCTTTATGATTGATCATGAAATCCTTGCTACGATCATTCATTCTGTACCCTTGCTCTGGCATGTACAGAATTTATCAGGTCCATGGAAAAGTGAATGTCACCAGTACTAGTAAACTGCTTCACAGCCTGCCCAGGAACTATGCAGTGATTGAACTGTGCTCTGGTAATTTTAATGTGGCTTATTGCTATGATCCGGAGTGAAAACTACCAATACCACCAAACAACCTTTTGATCTGCTTGCCCATACGGTAAGTTTTCTGGTGGCAAGGGTAAGCAACCTAAGCACACAAACTCCATTGTTGAATTCTAAACTTATGCTGGTGAGGGTCAAATGATTTTGAGTCAGAGGCCTTTACCACTCAGATTAAAAATAAACTTAAGTTTATTTTTAACGCTGGATAATACAACAGCATTCAAAGTACTGGACAATGTCATCTTTTTCAAACAAAACCTACCTTGTTTTAACTTTGACAGCATAGATTTCTCTGCATCTACTGATGCACTTTTCCCTACCAGGAGACGTTTGGCAAGATCCTTTTTATAAAAGGCTTCAAACACATCTTTCCCTGTAATACATTGTTTAAATGTGAAAATATTAATTGTATCAAAGATTTCTGCCAACATTTTACACCTTAGCTAAAAAACGCCCAATTTATTTATGATACTTCTATGCAAATAAATATTTGAAATGATTTTAGACTCATGAATATACATGAGATTTCAACTGATGTTAACAAAATTAAGACCAAGGACGTCAATTTGAGGTGGAGGATGGTAAAATGATCCCTTAAGATTTCCAAAATTATCATCCTAAGCCAAAAAGGGTAAATATTTTGTTGCTTTGAAGATGACTTTTATATGGAAGAATTGATTTTTTTTTAAACAATTAATTTTCATCAAAATCACTAAACATACCATGTATAAATCTAAAGAGAACCATGATTTTATCAAGCAGTCTCTCTAGTTCCTCTTCAGTAGCCTCTTTATTTCCTGCCCGCAATTTATTATCTACATATTTTGCTGAAATAAGAAAAAAATAATCCACATGTATTTTTGTGTTTGTTTTGTTTTGGGTTTTAAGTCACATCGACACAGTATAGGTCATATCGCGACGTTCCAGCTTTACTGGTGCAGGAAGACCTCAGGTGCCCTTCCGTGCATTATTTCAGGCACGAACGGGCACCTGAGTAGAACCACCAACGTTCCGTAAGCTAGCTGGATAGCTTCCTCACATGAAAGAATCCAAAGTCTCTGTCGGGATTCGAACACACAGAGGTGAGGGGCAATCCACATGTATAATATTTGATTTAGCTGAAAAAATTGGTATTTATGTACATCTTACAGTTGCATGGATACTAATAAAGAGGCTAGAATGACTGATTTCATCTACAAGCATTTCTGTAAGAAAACACGATACATGAAAAATAACAGATATTTTACCTATATATTCAGCTGGTTTATTCTGTCGTGCATTTATAAAGTTCTCAAAACTTTCTCTCATTGCATTAATAAACTGTTCATTCTTAGCAAAACATGTTCCTATAATATTGTCTATTTTGTCCTTGAAGTCTGCAAAAGAGTAAGTTTCATATTTATTAAAAGTTTAATCATCAGATTTGTAAATTGCTTAGTTATTTGCAATTTTTTAAAATATTTTTAATATTTAAAAAAAAAAAACCCATTAAATTCATTTAGACATGAAATTTCATGGTTTTGTCACAAAGAACATTTTTGTGGGTTCTTCAATTCATGGACCACAAATATAAATGATTTGGCATTAGTTAGATAATAACGAGAGTCATTGGTAGGACAGGGTATTTCACTATTCCCAGTGCTTGATTAAACAAAGGCCTGGATAATAAATAATGTTCTAATTTCAAAAAGGTTGTAAGTTCAACAATTATGTTAAAACCCATGATATAGTAACAGTGTTCGAAATTAGCAGTAGTCCGATAGCCTCAGACTACTAAATTTCTAATCGGGCTACCAACTTTTCACAGTTACAAGCCTGACCAGGCTACTGTTTTTTCAGAGGCAATATAAACAACTGTTTTGAACAAATGAATCGTGCTAGTGAAATGTCTTTTGGGCTAGTGAATATTCCAATCTGGTAGTCCGACCAGCCTAGTCGATTCAAATCCTAATTTCTTACACTGTAGTAATGGTCCTTGGACAGTGACTTCCTATTACAGACCTGTTTACCCCATTAATGCCCTGTCAGTAGTCGGAAAGTGGTTTATCAGTAGTTTTAGACACTTGTCAGTAGTTTTTAGGCCCCAGATTTACAACCACACTTGGTCACTAATCTAAGTCAAAAAGGGAACAGACAGTAGCTAATTTTTGCATTTTACTGGCGATTCCTCACCTGCTGGGCCGTTCAATTTTCGTTTCCCCATTTTACCATTTTTCCTTTCAGTTTCCAAGGTAAAACGCCGAGTATTCCAAATGCCAATTTAACTCAAGGAGAGACGATTAAATTCCTATACGCCTTTATAAGCGTCCAGATCACCCAGAATGACACTATTCAGCCCAAAGTGCTTAATTTATCGGAAAGTGCTCAATTAACGGAAAGAGTAAAAATTGCCGATTATGACCAATTTCCGTAGAATTTTTGTCATTAATTCGTAGTGCATAGTTTATGTGGCGAATCCGTAGGAAATACAGACAATCCATAGAGGTAAACAGGTCTGCTATTATCCTCTCAAACAAGTGCGTTAAGTTCAACTCATTCCCTTCGGTAGTTTTGGAGATACCATTTTGCAAGCAGAAACTTTACCCAAATATGAGGCCAATGCTGGGATGAGTACAATAGCTCTCCTTTTCTTTGAATAGTCAACCTAAAAATTTGTGGACAGGTGTTTGTTGTCATGTGGTTCTTTCTGACAAAATGTCTCCCCATTACAACAACTCATTCAAAATATGAGCCGCGTCATGACAAAACCAACATAATGGATTTGCGACCAGCATGGATCCAGACCAGCCTGCGCATCCGTGCAGTCTGATCAGGATCCATGCTGTTCGCTTACAAACCCTATAACAAGTAGAGAAACTGATAGCAAACAGCATGGATCCTGATCAGACTGAGCGGATGCGCAGGCTGGTCTGGATCCATGCTGGTCGCAAACCCATTATGTTGGTTTTATCGTGACACGGCTCATTATATCTATTCCATAATGTGAAAGCTTTCAATAATTTATAAGCTCTTCTGCACAAATTCTTTAAACAAATAATACAGGATGATTTTAATATGTATCCTCCTCATGATGAACAATGGTTATTCTCCGATTATTTGAAATAAAGTTTAAATTTTAATCTGCTAAAGTATCACCTCAGATAATGATTCTTTTCATATTTTGTTATTGTATCTAAGTAACTGAAAATAACACCTCTTAGCTCTAACATTGGCATTGGACTCCAGGCTGTCAACCAGGTCTTATCCAAAATGAAGGAGGAATATAGGAATATTTTAGCAGGAAATATAGGAGTTTTTGGACCATTTTGAGGTAAAAAATAGGAGTTTTCAACTTAAATTGTTTAACTTAACAATGCTTATATAATTGTAAATTATTCTTACTTTAACACATGCTGTTTCTACAATAAAATGTCTACCGTATACCGGTAAGTGAAGGACACCATTAGCAGGCTGTCCAGCACCTTTCAACATATATTAGGGTGAATTTTAGGGTAATATTTCAGAAATTTTAGGGCTAAAATTAGGAATTTTAGGGTACGTAATAGAAATTTTTGGACTAAAATTTGCAATTTTATAACTAAATAAACTAAGGTCCCAAAGGACCATGATGTGGGCTAACCTTTGCAAATTTGACACAAAAGTAACTCACAAATAATGCTCTAAATTAGTTAGAGCAAAGGTGCTACCAGTGAGGACTCACTGGTCAACTGCCTTCCCTGCGGAAATGGTCATAGTCAAATCATGTTCAAACCATATTTTTTAAAATGGCTGAACATGTCAAAAAGAACATGTTCTACCTATGTTTTGGGAACGTTATAACCACAAGTGTCTAAAAGGAATTCTTATACAGTGAAATTCTTGCAAAATGCAGCTTTTGAATATGGACAAATGAAATTTTTTGTACAAGTAGGAAGAAAAAAGGCATTTGCCTTAGTACAGTCATTTGAATAAATGGGAAGCATCTATAATCAACACAAAGAATTGCATATCAAAAAAGTTCATCACACAGACCATTCAATTGCAGTTTATCTAGATTGCATAATTGCAAAATGTGTGTACATTGTAATTGAAAATGAGCTTTATATTACTGCCAAATTATTTTGAGTGTGATTAATTATATGAGTCTGCCTTTTCCTAAATTGCACAATATGAATGAAAGAACAAGAATTGAATGAAATTGATAACTTTGTGGCAAAATAAGCAATTTCTCCTACAAAGACATCGAAAAGGATAAATAAGTATGAGGGAAAGAATTAATTTTTAAAAGTCTACGTTAACCCATTCAGTACTTTACAATGCTGTTTTGATATTATGCAGATTCAAATAAAAGAGTTGTGAGTAAACAAATTGTACTTTAATTTTTGACAACTATTTATACATGTTTTTAATTAAGATTGTGTTACAACAGCTTCATAATGATCATTTTTAAATATGATATGATATAAATGGACCACCTCAGAAATTTGGATAAAATGAACAAACATAAAATTCAAGATATCTGGAGTTGGCAAAACAGTGTCAAATATTCCAGAATAAGTGGACTCTTATGGTTATGATTTGAGTTTCAGGACCATGATATGGTAGTATTTTTGCTGTTAACTGTCAACATGATTATCAACAACTGCTTTGATTATGAAATAGCAATGTTACTGACATAGTCAGTGACTTTTAGTTAAAACGAAACCATTTCAATGTCATCAATTTTAAGTTGGCAAATCATGCCCAAATCATTTTTGACCATTTTCAAAACATGGTCGACTTAGTTATGTCCATGATTATTTTGACAGGGTTACAAGTTATAAGTATGTTTATAACAAAAGATAAAAAATTAGGAATTTCAGTGAAAAAATAGGGCATTTTTAGGAATTCCCTTTGAATTTTTCACTTTTTTAGGAATTTTAGGGACCCTGGACAGCCTGCATTAGCTTTGAACCATAGCATCAGCATCCCGGCAGAAAGTTACAGCAATGCATGACCATCATCTGAATGGTCACCTGAAATAAAGTTGACATACTGATGCACTGCTTTTCATGGTGACCATGCAGATTGCTATGTGGAGCACAGCAGCCTTGAGCATAGTAATGTGATGCAGGCATACACATTCTCTTACCTGTAAAATACAAAAGGCCAAAAGCAGTACCAAAATTTAACTCTCTTTGAATTCCTTGGCAATATATTTTTAAAAAAATATAGGAAAAATATTCAAAATATAGGAGAATATAGGAAAAATAGGAGGTTTTTTAAAATATAGGAATCCAACCCAAAATATAGGAGTTTTATAGGAATATAGGAATTGGTTGACAGCCTGGGACTCTTTAATTTACATTCGGAAAATGTTTCAATGAAACTAAAAGAATGTTACGTAAAATATGAGAACCAGCTTACCTAACATAGACTGGACCATATCTTTATCTTTCTCTGGATCATTACTGACATTTAGGACTATAATTCTACCCGTTCCCTGTAAAAATCAAAATTATACCATCTTAATACAAACATATGAAATAAAATTGTAACCTTAAAAGTGGCGGTGGCACCAACTGGATGAGTGGTTAATGCATTAGCCTAGTAATGTAATGATTGCATGATGCGTAGGTTCAAACCCTGTCAAGGGCAAGCCGTTCATTCCTTGTGGTAAAAACTTTACACTTATTGCTTAGTACTTGTTGATTCCATGCAATAAGTTTATATGTGTGTCTACAGGCTTATAGCTTCCTTCTCAATCAAGCAAATAAATTCAATAGAATTTAAAAAAAAATGAAACATCAATGAATTCAAATTTAACTTGTCAGATTATCAGGTCTATTAAAATCTTGACCTTTTTTTTTCTAATGAAGAAAATAATTCCCAATTCATATTGGGAACCAACAAAAGACAAATAGATGATGTGTATACATAATGTACAGTATAACATTAAGAATATTTTGTAAAATTCTTCATATGTGTATTACATTGACAATAAACTACACATACATGTCTTACATTGACAATAAACTACACATACATGTATAACATTGACAATAAACTACACATACATGTCTAACATTGACAATAAACTACACATACATGTCTTACATTGACAATAAACTACACATACATGTATTACATTGACAATAAACTACACATACATGTATTACATTGACAATAAACTACACATACATGTATTACATAGACAATAAACTACACATACATGTATTACATTGACAATAAGCTACACATACATGTATTACATTGACAATAAACTACACATACATGTATTACATTGACAATAAACTACACATACATGTATTACATTGACAATAAGCTACACATACATGTATTACATTGACAATAAACTACACATACATGTATTACATTGACAATAAACTACACATACATGTATTACATTGACAATAAACTACATGTATATTATATTCAAGCTTGCATATTAATATTCGTTAAGAGAAACAATTTCAGAAGATTATTTCTACATTTACATGGTACAATTCTACAATCCATTTCCATTTATGACTGGACACTATAACATTATACTGTTTTAAAATGCATTTCTTACCTTAATGTAAGTAGCAAATGAAGCACACAATTCTTTCTGACCTTTCTGTACTCGTGTAAACAGATTATACATTCTCGTCAGATCACTGATCCGGTTTTCAGACAACAGCTGGTCCAATCCTTAAATATAGATTATTATTATTGTTCAGAAGTATTCATTTCTACTCACCTCAATATGTTTTAACAGGTTATTTCACTTTTGATTTGGTATGCACCATTGACATAAAATGCAGATGTAGAGGGATCCATACATAACCCCAACATTCCACTGTTTTGTCAGTTTAAGAATGGACACTGTGACAGCCATACAGATGGACAAAATCATATTATATATATGCCACCCTCTTAGTAACAGGGACATAAAAAATATGCATCAAATGCCTGATTAGACCCAATTGATAGCCTAGACAAGTTAACATTGAGCAAGCACAGACATAATTGGTAACTTATCAAACTTTCACCATCTTTTGTCACTAAATTTTGAAATCAAAGTTCTAAAATTTCAATACTGGTCGGAGAGATAACTCCGACGCATAGATAACCCCGACACTTGATAAATATAATTGTTTTTGCTTTGTTTTTCAACAAATAAGCACATGATCACCTAACAGTATAGGAACAGGACAGAATGTGATGATTTGTTATAATTTGGTAGACTTTTTAATGTTTTTCAAATAACCTAAACTTTTTGTAGGCAAAAACTGCTTCAAAACGTTCTTTTTACTAAATTACAGTAAGGTAGTTAGAAATGTATTGACCACAGGCCACTGACTTGGGAAATTTTTTTGAAAAATTGTTTAAATATTTACAAAAAATAGATAAACCATATAAGATGTAAAAATAAATTATTGATGCTGATTTTCCAGTCATTTTTTACTTAAAATTTTAAGTGTCGACTTTATCTACTGTTGTGGGTTAAAAAGACCTTGTTTTGCATACCTCATTCAAGACCTTAAAGAAGTACCAGATTCCATTTTCATACATAGTTTTTGTGGTGTAATGTAAAATCTTTGAACTGAACTTTGTTTAGGTGGTTCAATATTTAAAATATACTGGAAGATAATTAAAATATTGCAAAAAATATGTGATTTAGTGTCGGAGTTATCTCCCCAACCAGTATAATTAAAAACAAGAGCACAGCATACCAAGTTAACGCTTGTCTGTAAAAATTAAAAATTTAAGAAGGGGCCGCTTAACTTCAAAAGTATTGCTTTCAGAATCATGCCCCTTGTCTAACAACTGCATCTTATCATGATAAGGAAGTACAAGTATTCCAAATTTTATGTTGATAATTTTGGAAATATTTGAATAATGGGCTATATTTAAGTTTTTTGCAATACAATGACAACTAAACCACAGCTATCTTAAAAGCGTGATTTTTTTCTTCCAAACAGATGAGCTTATAATCAAGAAAAATTCATTTATTACATACTGAACTGTTACAACGTAACATTTACATGACATTTTATTAATCAACTTACCTTTAACCAGCATTTGTGTTACATGTTGTTCCAACAGCTGCTTCTCTACCAAATATACCAAAGGTTTTCTGAAAATTTCACAAGAATGAATATAAACCAAGGTGATTATGTAAAACACCATTGAACCGTGTCACGACAAAACCAACATAATGGGTTTGCGACCAGCATGGATCCAGACCAGCTTGCGCATCCATACCCATCATCTATCAGTTTCTATACTTGTTACAGATTTTGTAAGCAAACAGCATGGATCCTGATCAGACTGCGTGGATGCGCAGGCTGGTCTGGATCCATGCTGGTCGCAAACCCATTATGTTGGTTTTGTCATGGCACGGCTCAAATTTGGATTGTCCCAAATCTGTTAAACAGTAACAAAGTTTGAAGGTTTAAAAACAATGACACTTTACAAGCAAGGTTCAAGTTATTTTTGCCTAGGTGACAAAATGAACCAGAGGCACATTACTTGACCTGGGTAAAAAAATATGAGCCAGAGTTAAGCAACTTTGTCTGAGACACCTGGGCTCAAGTTGTTTCTGGCCTCAAAGACATAATATAAGCCAGAATTAAAAAAAACATGGCCTTGGTGCAGAGTTAAGTAACTGTGTGACAAAATATAACCAGAGTAAGACAATTTGGCCTGGGTGATATAATATGAGCCAGAATTAAGAACTTCACCTAAGTGATATGACATGAATAAGAGTTATGTTACTTAGCGTGGGTATGTATTTTGTAATGTCTGTACTCACTTTGTGGACTGATCAAGATAATGCAGAATTCTTTCATTTTCTTCCTCTAGACGCATCTCTACATGTTGAAGGTACTCCGGTACCTGCAATGTTAAAACATATACCTTAAAATACAACCAATAACATCTTGTATATGATTATTTTACATTATGCCTTCACTGAAAAATGTTGGTTAGCAGTTATGTGGGAATCCTGATTAATAGAACAACATACGCACTTGTGATATATGCCAAAAATGTTAAAAATATCAGACCCATGTAAAATCAGTTATATATTAAAATAGTAGGTCCCCAGTTTACAAAATGATAAGCTTGAAATAATTATTTGAAAACTAAATTTCAACAATTTCTCATTTAATTTGGAAGTCTCTTTACTAAAGAAAATGAGCCTAGGGTGACAGTTAACTGGAGTATTAGCGATTAACATTTGCAACATTTGTTGCCCCATCTTATCAACTGCTTCTCCAATTTCTGTCTCTAAAACAAGAGCGATCAGTAATCACATGTGTCGCCTCATGATGGCCAAATTCATGTTGGGACAACTTTTGTGACAGACAGACGGACAGTGCACAACTAGACTTGGTACTGATCATTCCTGTAAAGTTTGGATAAAATTGCACCAGTAGACTAGTTTATGAGGAGTAGTCCGGACAAGCTTTTGCGTATCTGGCAACACAAAGAAAAAAACACCTTTTTATCAAAGGGCCATAACTCGGCCAAAAATCATTCAACCGGAAAACCCGTGCAATATGCGCAAGGACTTGAGCTACAGATCAATCCTGTAAAGTTTCATTGAAATTGCATTAGTGGTATAAGAGAAGTAGTCCGGACAAACTTTAAAATTAAAAATTATTAAAGGGCCATAACTCTGACAAAAATCATTGAACCGGAAAATGCTGACAATATGCACAACTAGACTTGGTACTGATCATTCCTGTAAAGTTTGGATGAAATTGCACCAGCAGTTTATGAGGAGTAGTCCGGACAAGCTTTTGTGTATCTGGCAACACACAGAAAAAAACACCTTTTTGTCAAAGGGCCATAACTCGGCCAAAAATCATTCAACCGGAAAACCCGTGCAATATGCGCAAGGACTTGAGCTACAGATCAATCCTGTAAAGTTTCATTGAAATTGCATTAGTGGTATAAGAGAAGTAGTCCGGACAAACTTTAAAATTAAAAATTATTAAAGGGCCATAACTCTGACAAAAATCATTGAACCGGAAAATGCTGACAATATGCACAACTAGACTTGGTACTGATCATTCCTGTAAAGTTTGGATGAAATTGCACCAGTAGTTTATGAGCAGTAGTCCGGACAAGTTTTGTGACGGACGGACGGACAGACAGACAGACGGACAGACAGACGACGGAGAAGTGATCCCTATATGTCGCCACTACTCCGTAGAGGCGACACAAAAAGCTCATAGACTGAAAATACAAAAATCTTACATCTCTTTCTTCCATTAACCTTTGACCTTCTGCCCTATATAGACTGTCTGTTGCCTCGAGGAACTTTTTCTCAAATGCCTCTTGATAAATCTGAAAGTGAAATTTTGAATATATAGTAGTGCTGTTATAATAGCCTTCTTACATACAATATTTTCCTTCCTGTTCAATTATATTTCTGATAACAGAGTAAAGATAATTAACACATACATAGGCAGTTTGAGACAGAGCACAAACCATTTTCAAATTTATCACATCCAAATTTATTTCTTATGTTGTTTTTTTTTAAGGGGGGGGGGGGGGGGGGGGGGCATGGGAATTGGTTTTACATTGCAACACAGTAAAGGTCATATGGCTGCTGTCCAACTTTACTGGGGGGTAGAGGAAAACTCTCAGGTGATCTTCCTTGCATTATTTCAGGCATGAACAGGCACCTGAATAGAACCACCGACATTCCATAACATAGCTGGATAGCTTCCTAACATGAAGTGTCAGGATTTGAACCCTCAGCTTTGAGAACATGTGGTTTAAAGTCAACAACCTTAACTACTAGCCTACTAGGCCATGGGCGCCCCTAAAATAAATGTTACAAGAGTCTGCCAGAAAAGCTCTGAAGAGTAGGCCAGAAAAGCTCTGAAGAGTAGGCCATGGGCGCCCCTAAAATAAATGTTACAAGAGTCTGCCAAAAAAGCTCTGAAGAGAAAGCAATTTCTTGAGGAAAGTCAGATAAGTAGATTTTCTTGAAGAAAGTTAGGATAACAAGCCGAAGGCATTTCAAATAATCTTCAAAAGGTACTACACAAAAAAAATATATAAGCAAGTGAAGACAAAATTTGTATATAAACAGTACCTGGAGATCAGACAACATTCTGAGTAGACTTTTAAGTCGTCCCCTGTCAACAGTTTCCCCACTTCTCTCTCGGTCAATCAACTGTAACAGACCGTCCACTGTTCTACTCTGTACTATATGATGCCCTACTATATGTGTACGGAAAAGGTCCAAGCCCATATCCCTGTAAAATATGACTGAGTATTAACATTTATTTAATTTTATCCATGAAATATGGTGCTATATCAGTCAAATATATTTCATATTTTTTTTTAAATAAACATGAAATATAAATATGAAAGTGGGCGGAGTCAAAACTCATATTTATTTTAAGGGACTTCTTTTGCCATTTTGTTTGAAAAATCTGATAAATACAAAACAACTTTTTGTTGAATTTTACTCTGAAAACTATCTAGATTGATAGAAAATGGTCTAAGAAAATAAATCCGAACACCAATATCTTGAATTCAATTATTAATGCTGTACAGACGTTTAAAGAGTTGTTTATGTGACGTCACAATGTAGCGCCAAATATCGTGTGCAAAACAAGACGCAATAATATATTAATGTGCGCTGTACAATGCAGTTGCGTAGCAAGCAATTGGGTTCGTAACCATTTTTAAAGAAAGCCCAACAAAGCAAATACAATCATGTTGCAGTCTCAGTTTGATTGAGCTTGTTGAAGTATGGTAGTGGTAATCCCAAGCTTCCGTCCATGGCTCCACGCCCCCTGGCACCAACTTAATTAAGCAGAACTCAACGTTTAACATGCACTGGTAAAATTTAGAATTTTGAAAATTCCGCAAATGCGTTCAATCTTTTGAAAGGATTTGAATTTACAATGAGGAATGGCAAGACATTAGTGATTCTATAACCATCTGGCTGTGGGGACCACAGTTTCATGCTGCAAGTGTTAACACATGTTTATTTATTACAAATCTCATTTTATCATATTTCTTTATAATAAGCAAAATATCATTTTTCACTCATTTTGCCAATTATGTCTATGATAATCTTACTGTGAACAGATGGCCAGTTGCATTTCATGATCTGTCCGTACAAATATGTCACATGTAACAAAATAATCAAAATAGTCCAATTGGAAATAACTTATCAATGATATCTATTATAGAGAACCAAGATAAATTTCATTGGTGATGTTATTTTTATTTGAAAACCTAGGATATAATTGGGGTGTTCTTTTAAATTTATATTATTCATAATAAGTACTGAGTACAGTAAGCAACAAAATTGCACATTATAAGTTATAAAACCTTTTTATTACCATATGGAAAGTATAGTGGAGTTCTGCAGCACATAGGTTCTATCCAGGAACAGGAATATGCTCCGAATCATGATCTGAAAATGTACAATATTACTGTTTAAGATAACGCTGCATAAACCTAAGAATCTGCCTTAACTTGTATTATCATTATTTATAGTTAGTTTTGTCTGCACACCAACACAATTTAGGTCACAAGGCGCCAAAACAGGAAAGAGGATTTTGGGGGTTACAAACTTAATGCCAGGAATCAAAATATGGCTGATATTGGGATATTACGATAACAGAAGAATGTTTTCATTTGACCTAGTTTTTTACCTGAGATTCTGACTATCATTAAATTTAATACTGACCTAGTTCTTAATCCTTTGTGACCTATATCTTTAATTTTGATACTGACCTAGCTCTTTACCCTTTGTGATTCATCTTTAAACTTTATGCTGACTTTATACTTTTATTACTTTATTCTTTGTGACCTATATCTTTAAATACCGACCTAGTTCTTAACCCTTTGTGAGTTGTGACCTATATCTTTGAAATTGATACTGACCTAGTTTTCATCTCTATGTGTTCTATATCTTTAAATTTGATACTGACCTAGTTCTTAACACTTTGTGACCTATCTATTGTTGTTGTTTTTTTGGTAAAGTTTTTTTTATATATATAATTTTTTTTTATTATTGAATTATGGAAGGACTGTAGCTAGCAATTTTATCCATGTTAGACAGTATCTATTTAAACTTGAAAATCTACTCAAATCCCATACAGTAATCAGCTTTACATCCATTCTTAGTAATAAGTGACACAGGGAAAAACAGGTTTGACTCACGAAAATTTTGGCCGAAGAGTGTTCGACTGGTGAAATTCTGACCCTACTGAGAGCTCTGTCTATCAATTTGATGCTGACCTAGCTCTTAACCCTCTTTTAGCTATCTATAAACTTGATTCTAACCTAGTTCTTAACATCTTGTGATCCATCTTTTAACATGATGCTGACTTAGTACTTAACCTTTGTGTTCTATATCTTTAACTTTGATACCAACCTTGACAAGGCCAGTAAAATGGAAAATCTTTACAGAATAGTTCATGAAGAAAGACTTACCATTTGTCTACAATGTGACTGCCAGCAAGAATCTATCTTTTTTAAGAACTCTTCATACCCTATGTTCTCTGTATGTAATGTTAAGGCTAAAATAATTTGAACATGCTCCAGAACTACAGGTACAAAACACTATATTAAAGCAGCACGCCTTCAGATTAATGCTTATTTTCATGAAAACTTTGAAAATGTAATTGAAAAGTTAATGTTGTATAGAAACCAAAAGGAAGCATTTCACATATATTACCAATGACACTAACAACCCACGATTAATTTCATAAAAAGGTTAAAATATGCAAAAAATGCTCTTACTGCGTTAGTAATGCAGTAGAAATACTGCGTTAGTAACGCAGTAGAAATATATTTACACATAATGAAAAATTAACCCTTAACTGCTCATAACCTGTAAATTGAATCTTTCCACTTTTCCTAAATTTTTAGTACATTTTCTCAAGTTTGATTTATTGAAATAATTTGACTCATCTGGAGGCATGCTGCTTTAAATATGAAGAGGATGTTAATGTCTCAATGACATTCAGATGGATTCTTTTCTATAATCATAATGAACATATACAAATGTTAAATCCTCATAATAAGTAACTTGGATAACAATATGTTTGTATAATATAGTACCAAGGCATTTTTTGTCAAAATTGTGAAGGGGTCTGGACCTGTTCATTTTGTGAATAAAGCGTGATTTGTCATAGAAATGTGAAAAAAATTACATATTATTTGGCATTTAGCGACATTATGAAACCGGGATATCTGCTTCAAGTCGGTACTTTAACCTGTTCAACATGTGCTTAAACCATTTAACTTGATTAAAACTATTTCTATGTTCATGAAATTGGCGTAATCATGTTTAACTGGAAGGTTAACAATGTATTTCAAAGACAAATTCCCAATGTATTTTGTGAAATTTCTTTTGAAATTGTGAATTTTTTTCTGCCACTCTTGTGAAAAAAAAGTGCAATTTTGAATTGTGAAGGGGCCTTATATGGGCCCCTGTTACAGAAGGATAAAAAAAGCCCTGTATACACATAATAGACTTACATTAACACTTGTATGGAGAATAATCAAAACTTAATCAGATATATGTAATAAAGAAAGGATATTCTAAAAGCTGGCCAATGTTCAGTTTCACATGATTTTCACATGCTTGTTTCAAGTGCTCATACAGCATTGAAGACATTTTATAGGAGCACATGTTTTCCACAGCCTGGTAGAGTTCCTCGAGGCTCGAGTGAATGGCATGGCTGGTATGGATAGCATCAACAGCTTCGCGCAACTTTCCCCACGTCACTTGTTGGTAATTTTCAGGGAGCTTCGGTTTTTCTGAAAACAAAAGTAAAATAACATTTCATCCCTTACATGTTTATTTGTTATAAATACTTCTGACTTCCATATATTGACATGCAGCCATATCACATAATTATACAGATTGTTGGGTTTCAAAGGACTCTGCTGTTTGTTGTTGTTTTTTGACATGACGAGACTGGATTTTTTTCCATGATTTGCGTACCATTGAATAAGGTCTGAAAAATAACTTTTGTGCAAATTTTAAAATCATTTCCACTTTCTATTTTTTCAATATAATCTACTGTGCAAATTGAAACAAAAATTAAGTGTTGCAACACATTTCACTCAAATTTCATGATTAACATACTTTAGTTGGACCCCAAAGTTCACAGTGAAGTTTATTGATCTTTGGGATCAAACTTCTCAATTTTGATCTCAAAGTGTTTTAATATGCACATTGGGTTCCACTTTGGTAGTTTTCACTCCGGATCATGGCAGTCTGACACATTGAATTAACCAGAACACAGTTCAGCTACAGCATTGTTCCTGTGCAGGCTGTCAAGCAGTTTACAAGTACTAGTTGCCCTACTTTCGCAAGGAACTGAAACTTCTGTACATACCAAAGCTGAAGTACAGTGCGTATGACTGTAGAAAAAACTCCATGATCAATCACAATGAAAGTGACCTGTGCCATCCACGAATCGAACCTAGGTCGCCCGATTCACAGTACAACGCTCTACCTATTGAGCTAACCGGACAGCACATACTATGATTTCTTTAAATATAATTATATGTGAGAATATACTTTTTTATTCTGTAATCTGCACAGATTTTTTTCTGTTTTAAGTGTTTCGCCTAATTTAAAATCTAATGAATTTAGGCCATATGACCTTGGTAGAGCTCTTTAAGCCACATATCTATTTGCCAATTGATAATTAAATAATGCACTGTCCTTTTATTCCCACTTATATTAAAAATGTTTTACAACGCGATTATTAGGTGGACTTGAACCGCGTAACTTTCAATATTGAACAATGAACTGTAGCTCTATAATTATGACTGACTGCAGTGATATGCAAAATCATGAATCAAGATTTAAAATTATTTTATGCCATTTATATTTTAGCCGCAACATCTGCTAACATACATAAGGTCCTTGTATTTCAACCTCCACTCCAATCTAAGGTCAATTAAATCCCATTAACTCAATTAGATCCTGGGGTCACTGTCTTATCTAAGATAGATCTATAGGTCTACCCGAATTTTGATACTGTTCTATTCCCCCACTTACTTAGAATGCATCAAATTCAGTAAGAAATAAGTTTTTTTTACAAATAAAAAATCTCTGAAAATGTCCTCGATTAAAAATTTACCAATAACATAAGTTTACCCTTTAAATTTTTTATAACAAGCTTTTTTGTTGTCCCCGGTTTTGAGCTGTTTAGTGGAGATGTATGTCTATGAACACCGTTACTTCCTGGGCTTGGCAAAGCTGAGAAATTAGCGCGTTTTTGAGAATCAGTCATTGTTGGAGAGTCCGTAGGACTAACTTTACTCCTTTTCGTAGCCGATGAATTTTGATCGCTAAGCCTTCGTTTCTTTTGGAGTTTTTCTTCGTCTTTCCGTTGTGGTTCATGCAGAACACGCTTGTTTGCATTTGAGAGAGGCATTCATCTCTTTATGGCCAGTCGATGGCCGTTTCCAAACAGGAAACTAAGATCACAATTGAACAATTAAGATTTCAATCATAATACACAGAAAGAAATCATAAATACAGTGCAAAATGGCGGATCTCTCGTGTATTTTTTTCTTCCAAGGGACAAAACTCAATTTCAAAAAAATTACTGTTCCTTGTTTTGTTTCGACGGTGTATACGTAAAATTTGTGACTATGTAAAAGTGGCTAAATGTTTGCAAGGTTTACACCACTAAATTATTAATTTTTGTTTGCTTCATGCCCATACTACCGTCGCTCAATAAAATGTATTTTTCATACCACTCTGAAATAAATCTTGCATTATAGCACGGATTTATATTACAATATAAATCCGTGATTATAGTAAAAAAGAAAAACTGAAATATCCTCTATGCACAAAATGTCAACTCGTTCTGTGGTGGTTTTATGAGAATAAAGTGCGTTTCCCTACTATTAATTTGTAGAATGTTTAATTTTTGGAGTAAATTAGTATGTCTTTGATCTCTAGACTAATTATGTAGAAGGACCATAGTTAGTGATAAAACTCATGCAATATGTGCTCTTTTGTATCGCACTGTGTAAAAGTTATGAAAAAATGTATGTAGAACTATTGAAACTTTAAACATATAGTACATGTATTACATAGAGGGTATACTTGTTTAGTTCAGTGTAATATGGGAATATATTTCACCGAGTGAGCACCGAAAGGTATATTTCACGAGTGGCGCACGAGGTGAAATATATTTTGATCTGTCACTAAACTTAACACATGTTCTTTTTATTACATGCAAAGAAACGTTTAATAAGCCATTTTAACCAAGTACTAAATGAAAAAGCGCGCCAAATAATAATACAAAGTGACGTCATTTACGACGTCACGTTATTAAATTGGTTTCCAGTACTGTGCACGCTGGTATATCACTGAAACAAATAACGGGAATTAAATTCAAAAAAGTGAAAATTATCAAATTGATAATTTGACTGTTTAAACAGTGAAATTATCAGTTTTTAACTCACTTATTTATTTCTATAAACCACCGAAAAACATATAATAAATAGAAGATATTTGTTTAGTTCAGTGTAAGATCGGAATATATTTCACCGAGTGAGCACCAAAAGGTATATTTCACGAGTGGCGCAGCCACGAGTGAAATATGAACTTTTGGTGTTCACAAGGTGAAATATATTTCGATCTTACACTAAACTAAACAAATTTTCTTTTTATTATATGCAAGAAACGTTTTAAGATGACATTAAACCTAATACTGAATGAAAAGCACGCTAAAAATGATACAACATGACGTCATTTACGACGTCACGTCTCTAAGTTGGTTCCCATTACGGTGCACGCTTGTATTTCACTGAAACAACGTAAGAGGCTTAAATTCAAAACAGTGAAATTATCAAATTGATAATTTCACTGTTTAAAACAGTGAAATTACCAGTTTTTAACTCACTGATATATTTCTATAAAAAATCGAAAAACATGTAATTAACAGTATTACCGGCGCCAGTGATAACAGATTGCTGTATCTAAAATTTACTGATTACAACTGGCGTTTATTAACTGGGTTGGTATATTTCTATTACCCATGTACGGTCATTGCTATAGACTTAATGTACATTGGCTAGAGATAACATAAGATATTGTTTGACTCGTTTACCCATTCAATTATAATACTATTTTGAGCGAGACAAAATGGCAGCTGTTTTTTTTATTTTATTTTTTAGGGGGGGGGGGTGTTGGTTTGTTTTATTTTAAATCTCAAGCTTGAAATATATATATGAAAGGATTTCGTTTTATTAACGTAAACACTCACCACTAGTACTCAGGGTAACGGATGTAAATTATCAACCTAGTGTGTCTTTTCTTGAGAATGTTACATGCGCCCAAACGATGAAATCTTACAAAAACGGTCTAAAAGTGGCGAACTTTCTGACCACTCTTTCATTATTATTATTATTTTATTCGCATCCTACTTATATCCACAAATGAAACTTTCAACTCATCATTTGAAATATTTCTAATTTTGACACAAAAGATATAAATGCGATGGGTGAATCGAAAAAGCTTTTTATTGAAGAGCCGGGGGTTAGTATGCGCCCAAACAGTATTCCAGTGGTACCGCGAGATTAGTGTCAAGTAAATGAGTGCAAATATTTTGTTCATAGAGAAAAGAAGAATACATAGAAACCGGAAAAAATTACAAAACTGAATATGTTACAGACTCTGGTTAATTGAACTTGTTCATGGTCGGTACTGAAAAATGCAAGTTACAGCCACCCCGCCTTCACCCAGACACAGGCACTAGACACAATTATTTTACCCATATACGCTCATATTACTGTATAATTATAAAGAATATTCTTTATATATAGTATTACGCTCATATTACTATATAATTATAAAGAATATTCTTTATAGATAGTATTATGAGCGTATGTTGGTAAAATAATTGTGTCTAGTGCCTTTGCACCGAGACACTGTTTCCAACATTTAACATGTGATGGTAACATTTGAATGTAGTAAAGCCTGCTAAAAGATCAAATATTCACCAAGACACCGGCGTTAAGTTATATGCAGCGACAAATCTTTAAAAACTTGTTTCGCATGACGTTTTGTTTTTGGTTTGTTTGTTTGCTTTTGTTTTTTTGTTTTTGTTTTGTTTTGTTTTGTTTTGTTCGTTTGTTTGTTTGTTTGTTTTTTAGGGGGGGGGGGGGGTATTTTAATGGCGTTGTAATAACGTGGGCCCTGTGCGGATATCATATAATGTTCTGTTACGTAATCTAGCTGTATTTGTTAAAGCAATAATGCTGAAAGTTAACTGAGTCATCTTCCTCATTCGATATTTGCCATGCTTGTATTATTATTTATAATATTGTTTGTCAACACTTATGTCCTCAAGTACCATGCGTTTTGTTAATTAATAAAACATATTAATGTCGTTGAGTTTAAGGAAAGAGAAGGAAAAAAACCAAATTAATTTATATAATTCCTACTGTACGGTTTTAATGACCATTTTCATTGGATACTGTATTAACCAAAGAGAAGGTTATTGCTCATTTTTGAAGCAATTTTCATTTTCCCATAAATTAAAAAAAAACAAACAAAAAAACCCCAAAAACATGCTGTATAATAATTTCGCTATAAAGAATTTGACAGGTTATATGGCGTGTAATGTATACAAGTTTGTTTGTAATATAACCACGTCTAAGCATGGCTCTAATTATATAAGCTTATAACCGTTAATTCTGAACCATATAAAACCTATCGAAAATCTGTACAATGTGTATTATAAAAAACAACCCAACATGAAAAGATATATTGCGAAATCATGCTAAAATTGTTTTCAATGTGCAACTGTAAGCCTACTGTTAGAAATGTAATTTTATCATATAATAATATAGGCTCTCGTAATATGAAACTGATCAACATTCTTCTTGACACACAATATACGATTGGCAAATACTGGAAAATAGGTAGTCCACAAAAATAGGTGATGAGTTTCATTATATTTTTAGATGTACAGCTATTTTACATATAAAAGACACAGATTTATCGAAGTTTCAAAGTTTTCAAAGTTTATTTCAGAACTCAATTCATGTACGAGTACACACATGACAATTTGAGCTATAGCATATAAACGTACATTACATAAAGAGGCATAGCATACACATAACAATAATAATATTAATACAATCCAACTTAACAAAATGGAGAGAAACACGCATTTTCAAGAACATGATGAACAAATATGTAGAAATGTTACCTATTCTCAAATTTTGTGATTATTTCCTTAACAAATAAACAAAAAAAATCTGTATTCATTACAATGAGTTATATTCATATTCATAATAGATTTAATAGTTAATATATTTGGATGTCTAACATAATTACGATCTAACATTCTTTTTCTTAGAACCGATACATGTAAAGAGATAGTGAAATTCATCTCCAATTCTTCCGGAGCTGTTACAAAGTGTACATTTACGTAAATTTAAATCTATACCCTTCCAACTTCCGAGGAAGTCTGCTGTTTCTTGTTCTAAACTTAATTACATATCTTAGTATCAGTAATTACTACTCAAGCCTTCCCTCAGACTTTTACGTGTGGTGACAATTAGAAATCAAAGGGCTGCAGCTCTATGGTATTTTCTGATCTTTGCAATCTAAATCATACTGACTATCTGTATGTACTTTCCTATATAAGTTTATTTTTATATACTATAATTCATCTAACGCAGCGACAGCGTTTTGATTTTCTTCTATAACAGTTTGAGATTGATACATGTATATGGAATTTTGCATGAAAAAAAAAATAGAATTGCCTCGACTAGGATTTGAACCATAGGCCTCTCACACCCTCAACGAGACCGCTTATCTCTGCACCACGGAGAAGTAATACATATATACCTTGAATAAAAACGAATACATTATGTAATTCTAAATTGAGAATTTCCATTTCGTGTTTGCAATCCTTATTAATTTCGAGGTATTTTGTTCACGATAAACCTAATGTTTAACACTGATGAAAATAATTTAGCGGAAATCTTCTCGCCAAAACAGTCCGACATGTATATATTCCACTACTCGGCAGTCAGATTTATTTGTGTACTACCCTCTGGAGTATTCATTAAGCGACATAGCTAAAAATAGCATTTTCATTGATTAAAATGATATTCATGATAATCCGAAGCTTTACGGAAATAGCCGAACATTTTTCATTGGGTAAAAAAGATATTCATCCGCGAAATTTGTGATTGTAACCTCACATTTCTATTGACTAATCTAAACTTTTAATGCACTGTAATTCGTTAAATGCCTACATTAAAAATTATTCTTTCTTTTAAATTGCTGGTTTTTAAGCAGTTTTGAGTGAGAACTACTTTGCGTTGTTAGGACTGTTAGGAAATTTTGTGTTAGACCGTAAATGTTAGCTATGTATTTACTGATCTTACGATCAGAAAATACAAAAATCAATCTGACAGACACTGTACGATTACGTTGCGTATGTGGTTAAATCATGCATATGGCAATGAACATAGGTTTTTTCTCCTGAAGGAAGAAGAAATGAAAAATAAAAAGCTCGACAAACCATTATCCAACCATGCAACTGCTAAAATAGTATACGGAAAGGATATCCTCTTTTAAGTGTGTTTTTTCTCTTTTGTTTTTGTTTTGTTTATTATTTCTTATTAAATTCATACTAATTTTTATAAAATCAAACCATAAAATGTATTAAAAAGTAATTATATTTTCAAGTGAACAATGAATATAATTTACTTTAAAAACGGCACTTAAAATCTACGAAATATTACCAAAAATAAGAATAGAATATGCAAAATTGCGTAGGTCACGCAGTAGAAATATGGTGATAAATACAGCAATACCAGTCATTAATTACATAGAACATGTAGATTTTTTCTTGAGTTGTGAAAAGTTTACCTTTCTTTAAATTTTAGTACATTTTTCTCAAGATTGACATTCTTGAAACATTTTTCCTTATCTGGAGGCATACAGCTTTAATGCATTACTGCTCTACACCGATGTCCCACAACATAACATAACATAACATAACAAGGGGCGTCCGTGGCCGAGTGGTTGAGGTCGTTGACTTCAAACCACTTGCCCCTCACCGCTGTGGGTTCGAATCCCGACAGGGACTTTGGATTCTTTCATGTGAGGAAGCTATCCAGCTAGGTTACGGAACGTCGGTGGTTCTACTCAGGTGCCCGTTCGTGCCTGAAATAATGCACGGAAGGGCATCTGAGGTCTTCCTCCACCAGTAAAGCTGGAACGTCGCGATATGACCTATACTGTGTCGATGTGACGTAAAACCCAAAACAAACAAAACAAACAAAAATAACATAACATAACATTACAATACATTACATTAAGAAGTGGTGAGTGGTGGCTGAATTGTTAAGGTGTCTCTGTACCGTAGCTTCGAGCCCTATTCTGATTACGACTTAAGATTTCTTAACTGACACCGGCACCGGTTATGTCAGCGGTGTACAATATAAGTGTCAAGAACCTGTTTAACATTCGAGCTTGAAAAATATGTTAAAAGTAATGATGTGATATTAAAACGGGTTTGTTTTCATTCAGAAAGTTAGAAATCCAAGCAGGATAGCTTCATTTCTCAGTTTAAGGGTTAGCGTAATTTAATCTTTGCGATTTCATTCCTGAAATAGACGCAGCTCGGATATCCGTATAGTTTGACAGAGCTCTACACGTTCAGTAGCAGCTGAATGCGTGGATACAACTCTTTTACACAGTGGAAACGTTTAAACCTTGCACCATTCCAAATTCAAATATAATGTGCCCCATATTGTACAATTCCGTCATTGTAATAGCAAAAGTCACCGAGATAAACACTTTATAATTTATTTGCCAGACTTTTTTATTTTATTTTGCAGCGAAATGCTTTTAAACGCTTTACCTGATGATGTCTTCTTCGTAAGAAATTTTGCGATCCGACGTTTACCCCTGGTTAAGTAAATAATAAAATTTTGCAACCCGACGTTTAACCCTGGTTAAGTAAATAATAAAAAAATATGTTTTCACAACGTTGTCATGTTGACAGTGTTAAAAGAAGGCCATTTTATAAACGTATCAAGGAAGGATAAAGGGAACGAGGAACAATCCAGATCGCTTCTTTTTATAACGTTTATCAGTAAGTACCACCACAGGTTGATAGCGCCCACTGAAAATTGATTGGCCGATCTTTTAAACCAGATTCATTTTTATAGTATTGATTTTAAACATATAGATAGTTTGCGTTTCGTATTGCGTTTGCGAAGGTTTACTTAGTCTTATTTTAACACTCCTTTACATGAAACAATACGTTGATTTATTCAAACTTTTATTTTATGATAAAATAATAGAGTATACATATATACATACTAAATTGTTGTGAAGGAATCTTACTGAAACTCGTGACTTACTCTTCTTGTGATTTGATTTACATTTCAGTTTTAAAAGGTAATTAATTTCGTTTTCTTTTAATTATGTATTAATTTGTAAAATATCACATTTTATATTTATTTTGTATCAATTGATATATTTAATATCAAGTTTTAATATATCATTATCATTTTATCTGAAAGTAAAATGTAATCAATGTAATCGAATGCAAAGCACTTGAGGCCCCATTATTCCCCAGAAATGCTTTATTTTTTGTTTCTTAACATCTTTTGACTTTTAGTGTCATGTTATAGTTTCAAAAACAAACAAAAAACGCAAAAAACTACTCATTTGCTAATTACCAGAACCAAATTATTTGCTATTATTAGTACTGTTATAGGGATATATTATTTTGTATGGAAGTCAAATTACATTTTGCTACATTAAACTACTTTCATCAGATGATCAGCGTCTAACATGCTCTAAAACCATTATTTAAACGTTATAAAATTTATGTTTGCGCTTTAAAAAGAAAGAAAAAAATATTTGTTTTTCTTTGGCTTAATGCGCCTTTAAGTTAAATTTAATTTTATTATTTATCAATAGACCCATAGTTAACTACACATGTTACTATATTAAGTTCAGGTTTATCGGTCATTCCTTTTTTTATCTTTTTAAAGAACGACGGATTGCGAAACTGTATATAAGCGCTCGGTAGAATATGTTTTCATGATTATAATAATAACAATGTATCATGTATAGTGTGTATCAGCTGTGACGGATTTAAACACATGTTACAATTTCGTCACGTATATAAGATAGAAAGTAATACATGGTAATGCATGTTGTATTTAAAGTATCACGCCTCCAGGCTGATTTGTAAGTTGTATTTAAAGCATCACGCCCCAAGGCTGATTTGTAAGTTGTATTTAAAGCATCACGCCTCCAGGCTGATTTGTAAGTTGTATTTAAAGCATCACGCCTCCAGGTTGGTTTGTATGTGGATTTAAAGCAGCATGGTTCATCCTTATTTTCATGATTTTTTTTTAAAAATTGTTTAAGAAGCATAATGCATATGTAAAATTTCAATAAAGTGTGGTAACAATATTAATTTCAACATACAGGATCTTTTAAAGGTTATTTATTTTCAGGTGAAGAAAGTATTTAACATGCTATAGAAACATTATAATAACGTTATAAGATTTATGTTTGCACTTTACAAAGAATGTTTTTAAACGTTATGGAATTCATGTTTTGGGACTGAATGTATAAAAGTTTACTATTACATTCATACATGATATATGTTTACGTATAGAGGAATTCACAAACGAAATAACAAGACATTGAAATCATAAGACTTAAAGATTTATAATGCTCAAACTTGGTATTTCAAAATACTAATAATTTCTATACAGTCTTTTTTAATATACATTTAATGAGCACAAACAGAGCAGATATGTTACATTGTAAATACTACACACTATAGGTTAACATGGTACGATTTATCGCGTCATTAAATAACTGGCGGTTTTTTAAACTTTAAGAAAGGATCAAAAGACCAGAAAAAGGGAGTGCAGCTTTCAATTCAAATTAGTCATATCCATTAAGAAATTCCCAGATTTCAATAAATATCTGTCACCTTAATATGAGCATAGTATATCTTTCAAGTAATGAGAGGAATGTAGCAACAAAAGTCTCTTTACCAAGGTGGTCTCTTTCAAAGATTTGGCTGGACTTTTATTACTTGATTACAAGGACATTGTGGTTTAACCTTGTTATTTATATGAGCCGCGTCACGACAAAACCAACATAGTGGCTTTGCGACCAGCATGGATCCAGACCAGCCTGCACATCCGTGCAGTCTGATCAGGATCCATGCTGTTCGCTATCATTTTCTCTACTTGTAATAGGCTTGGTAAGCGAACAGCATGGATCCTGATCAGACTGCGCGGATGCGCAGGCTGGTCTGGATCCATGCTGGTCGCAAACCCATTATGTTGGTTTTGTCATGACACGGCTCATTTAACTTTTATTTATTAACAAAATTATATAAGATCATAAACCATTTAAAGTAGTACAGTATACAACTGATTTATAAATATTTACATATGTCGCATAGTTAAAAAGGGCAAAATTGTATGGTATGCCATTTTATTTGAAGTTTGAGAACAATAAGGCACAATTCATTTTGTATCGTCGTACTTCCGGAATAATAATCCGTCCATCCCAGTTTTTACAAATATCTAGATTTTTTTTTAACTAAATGTGATATGGAATGTTTTTTTTCATATATGGGCAAATCATGTTCACAAATACAAATACATGTACAGCATATTATAGCTCTGCGCACAACTCATTTAAATATCATTACTTCAGATCATTGCCAAGCAGGCAAGAACTTTTTTCAATAGCGTAATGTTAAATACCTGCATGTATTTGATTGTTGTTGTATTTTTATAAGAATAAATTTTTATAACTTATACTTGTTTAATTTTTACAAACATTATATCTTGGACAAAGTTATTCATTTACTTAAACATTCACTGAATTCGAATTAAAAATATAAACATGGTGTGTGCTTCTTAAATATAGCACTTATTGATAAACATGTATTCATTTGATTCATTCATAACACGCATATGCGAACTATTAATCCGTTGCTATAGGCATCTCGTAAAGTAATTATATCAAGGGACATACAATTTTTAACGCTAATGTACGGTGTTCCGTTTGGACAACTGTGACTTTTTATTTCGTCCTTGCCCGCGATGCACGATGGTAAAATGGTGAAAACGCGATGGTACAATGACACGATGATGAAAACACGATGGTACGACGGTAACATCAAGATGGTACGATGGTGAAAACGTGATATTATATCGCGTTTTCACCATCGTACCATCGCGTTTTCATCATCGTACCATCGCGCCATCGTGTTTTCACCATCGTGTCATCACGTTTTCATCATCGTGCCATCGCGTTTTCACCATCGTACCATCGCGTTTTCACCATCGTACCATCGCGCAATCGTGTTTTCACCATCGTGTCATCACGTTTTCATCATCGTGCCATCGCATTTTCACCATCGTACCATCGCGTTTTCACCATCGTGCCATCGCGTTTTCACCATCGTACCATCGCGCAATCGTGTTTTCACCATCGTGTCATCACGTTTTCATCATCGTGCCATCGCGTTTTCACCATCGTACCATCGCGTTTTCACCATCGTACCATCGCGCAATCGTGTTTTCACCATCGTGTCATCACGTTTTCATCATCGTGCCATCGCATTTTCACCATCGTACCATCGCGCTTTCACCATCGTACCATCACGTTTTCACCATCGTACAATCGAGTTTTCACCACCGTGCCATCGCGCTTTCACCATCGTACTATCGCGTTTTCACAATCGTGCCATTGCGCTTTCACCATCGTACCATCGCGTTTCATCATCGTGCCATTGCGTTTTCACTATCGTAGCATCGCGTTTTCACCATCGCGTCATCGCGTTTTCACCATCGTGCCATCGCGTTTTCTCCATCGTACCATCGTGTTTTCATCATCGTGTCATCACGTTTTCATCATCGTGCCATCGCGTTTTCAGCATCGTGTCATTGCGCTTTCACCATCGCGCCATCACGTATTCATCATCGTGCCATCGCGTTTTCACTATCGTACCATCGCGTTTTCACCATCGTGTCATCGCGTTTAACCATCGTACCATCGCGTTTTCACCATCGTGCCATCGCGTTTTCACCATCGTACCATCGTGCAACCCGGTTACAGACTAAATAAAAAATCACGATTGTCCAAACGGAACACCGTAAAAATGAATGCAAAGAAGTATTTTAACTTCCACACAAAATACTGAAATCATTGTAACTGTACTAATTGCCAAAATGCAAAAGAAACAACAGATGGCTCAGTTACTAAATTGCCAATGAGTAACTTTTTGAAAACTGGATCATGGCATCAAATGTAATACCTTTTGATTTTTTAGGCTTAACATACCTTTACAAACAAACAAACAAACAAACAAACAAACAAACAAACAAACAAACAAACAAACAAACAAACAAACAAACAAACAAACAAACAAACAAACAAACAAACAAACAAACAATTAAACAAACAAACAAACAACAAACAAACAAAACAATGCGTTGTTAACAGTTTTTTTTTGAAAAGTATAATACATGAATAAATCAGTTATTCTAATCAATTTTATTCGGCAAACCATATAAATACCCATCGTCAATATAACACAGTACATATATAAACCATGGCGACTTCATCTTGAAACAGAATTCACAAAATTTATATCAGCAAAACAATCAGTGGATTCATCCGGACATTATAAATATGCATGCAAATTTATACAACAAAATGCATACTTGAAAATACCCCCCCAAGAGATTAGCTTGGTAAGCATATTTTTGCAAGTTTTATAGATAACATTACTTTGTTGATAATTTAAAGGAGAGTTTAATTCAATGGCCAATGCGTGCGTGGTTTCCTTTATCCATGCGTTCATCTGATTTTAGTTTGACTATTCGATGAATAGACTCACAAGTGTGTCGGCGTCTGCGCCACACTTTGGTAAAGTTTCTGCGTGCAAGAAGATATCTCCAAAAATACTGAAGGGAATGGGTTGAAACTGCGCACACTTATTTACACATGTATATAAGCATACTAGCATGTCACCAGCTAAAGCAGATAACTTTAACATGGATTCTGACAAAATTTATGGCTATTTTGAACATAGAAAATTCTACATTAACCAGGCTCTTGTTTTACTATCAAGTATTGAGAATGAATAGTCGAGCAAGCTGTCCTACTGACAACTCTAGTTATGTCTTACTTCAATGTATGATTGATTACTATCAATAATGACATTCAATAGTTATAACCATGTTTTTATAGCCTGTACAGATATATTTATATAACCATTTATCGGTTCATATTTTCATTGTATCTAATTTTAAATTATGTATCAATATGGCTTAGTTTCTACTCTTTTGTAAATGATTTTTTAGAATGCATGTTAAACATAAACAATTTATAAAATTATTTCTAAAATTTATTTTTTGTAAGAATCGTATGCTTAATTTAAATATTATACTATGCAAAAATTAAAGGTTACAGCAAATTCAAAAATCGGTTAAGAAAGAATTATCCTGAAATTGGTTTAAAAATAAATCGCTAAGTGGAACAAAATTTTGTTTCGTGTAAAATAGTGTAAGCGGTCAAAGTAAGCATTGTGGAAGTTATTTAGTTAGTATTAAGTTATTCAGTCATAATTTAGTAGTTTTTTTCCAGTTATTATTAAGTTATTCAGTTATTATTAAGTTATTCAGTAATAAAATTTAATCAGGGACGAATACATTTTATACCTAGAAATATGATCATGGACAAGAAACATTTGATAGCATGTTATTTTTGTGAAACATACATTCTTATTAAAACAGTACCGATCTTTTAACTTAGCATGATAATTTCAAAATCAAATATTTCCATATTTAATATTCTTGTTTTTTTCCAGACACAAAAATGGCAGAACAAAGGCAATCCGTGGGTATACTTGGTACTGGTGACTTTGCAATTGCTTTGGCGAAAAGACTATACTTTTCCGGATATGACGTCATTATAGGAAGCAGAAGACCAGACGAAATTTCATTATCAATGGAGAAGGAATGCGCATGCGATATGAATCTTGTATCTACTGAAGAATGCATTAAAACCGCAACAGTAATTTTCTTAGCAATTCATGCAGAACACTTCAAAGATCTGCTTCAGCATCACGGCGAGCTTTTAAAGGGAAAAGTTGTTGTGGACGTTTCAAACAGGGATAAGCCAAGCAAGACTCATTCAAATTCAGAAGACCTTCAAACAATCATTCCGTGCGCATCAGTAGTTAAAGCATTTAACGTCATTTCCGCTTACACAATGGAAAATGATTATGCCACGAATAACCGTCAAGTCTTCATTGCAGGCAATGACACCTTTGCCAGAGAAACGGTAGCAAATATCGCCCGAATGATGGGCTTCACTCCTGTTGATTTCGGGAGCCTGACAGCAGCAAGGCGGATCGAAAAGCATCCGCTCATGTTATTACCAGGATGGAGAGGACCATTGGCGTTCACTCTTGTAGTTTTCATCATTTGGCAACTGTTTCTTATATACATATATTTCATAGAAAAAACTGTTTATGAATGGGAACAAATTTTTGTGAAAGTCTTAAACAAGGCAATATGTATGACAGGGATCACGGTTTTGTCGGTTACATATTTAGCCAGTAGTTTTGCAGGAATAACTCAACTGTATAATGGGACAAAATACAACCGTTTTCCAAGATGGTTAGACAAATGGTTAAAAACTCGCAAACAACTTGGACTGGTATCATTCATACTTATAGCAATACACGTGATAATGTCAGTTTTGATAATGTCACCAACCTATTTAAGATCTTGGTATCATTCTACCAAAATTGTCTTTCCTTATAACCTTTCCAAAACGTATGAATATCAGAACATCAACTGGATGACCTGGAAAGGTGAAGCTGCCTGCATGACAGGAATCTTTTCCTTCATTCTGTTATGCTTTGTCTGTGTCTCTACGTTACCGTCTGTTACAAACACACTGAATTGGCGAGAATGGCGTTTCATACAATCAAAGATCGGACACGCTGCATTGACGCTTGCCATTGTGCATGTGCTTATAATGGGTATACCAGGATGGGGTAAAACGCCACAAGTTATCTATAAATCAATCACATTTTTGTCTTCAGTCATTCCATGGATAACTATACTGCTTAAATTGTGCTTATCTTTACCATGTATTGATAACCATCTCATGAAGATACGGAAAGGCTGGGTAAGGCAAGGGAAACGATGCAAATGCGTCCGTCCTACAAACAATGGCTGTATGAAGGCATGTGTAATGTCAATGGATAAAAAAAGAAATGGGAGAATGACAGATATAGTCCATGAATGTCCCGATACAGTGACAATGATCAAATTAGATGAACCTAATTGCGCATGTGCAAACTGAAATCATTTTATTTGTATGTCTATACTACTTAATTTCAAAAATTGACTTCATTTTCCTTGATTATGTTTTCAGGATGAATCGTGCTAGTCACTTTTACAACTTCTTCTCCTGGCTTTTCATGTACATTAAATGACTCATATTGCCAAATGGAGATATATTTAGCAAAGGAAAACACTATGAAACCGTACAAATATATACTTAGCTCTGGCAAATTTTGGTCAAGATCAATTTTTGTATTAAGCATTTTGGTGTATTATAAATGTCAACGATCTCTGCGTTCTTTGAGCTGCGCCGCTGTAGCGTTTTCATGGTAATTTAAGACGACATAGACGGTACTGGATGCCAATAGATCGATAATATTTTGCAATTAAATAGATGAGACATCAAACTGTGCGCAGGTATAAATCTAATGAAGAAAACATGGACTACAACAAACAAGAAGTTTCTTTAAAAAAAAACAAAACAATACTCGGCCGAAGTAAAACTGGTTAGCATGCAAATTATGTTATTTCAATACACAAAGAAATGTTAGCAGTGCTTGCATAACAAGGACATAATAATTTTTCTTGTAGCTAAGAAAATTCCTATTTTGTATTCATTGAAATTAAATTATACCATATTTATATCGATGATATTTCAAAGTAGGACAACTTCTATTTTAGTTGTCTCTTTACCTTGTTTTACGTTTGACTTTATACATTTTTTAATAATTTCTAACTTAACCAAAAAGTTAAAGAACTGTTCTCATTCTTGTTCATTTTATTTTAGAACTATCTTTTACATTTTGTTGTATAGTGGCAAAAACTATCCCTTAATTTTTATTTTAGAGCTATCCTTAAAATTTATTTTATAATGGTAAGAACTATCCTTTACATTTTATTTTAGAATGGTTAGAACTGTCCTTTACATTTTATTTAAGAATGACCAATGAAATTCACCGACTTCAGTTTGCAATTCTAAAATGATAAATGAAAATTCTTATTTATTTCAGTCCTTCCATGTTAATTTAACGGGAAGTTCAACTGATAACTGACGGGCTAAAGACAAAAAATACCCAAAAATCCATTTAACTAATAAGTAATCATTAACAATTTCAATATATTTTTAAAATAATTTTGTTTTGCCTTTGGCATTCTTGTTGTTTTTCATCTGATGATATGCAATATTTGCAAAAGCTACTGCTAGATTTTTTTTACTTTTATTTTAGCTTTTTTTATGATAGATCTCTTGTATTTTCTTTGCAATTTCAACCCATATTGTATTACAGCCCTGCACATGTTCAGTTTTAATGAATAATAAAGCTTTGTATTAAGTAATCGTTTATTTTAATATCCTATGCACGCATGATGTGTGCTTTGTGGAAAGACTGGTGAAGTATGCGAGAATGAGAGGGCAATATCTCGCACACAGGCTCACAATGTTCTATTTTTTATATAAACAAAATCTTACATAAGAAAATTTATATTGGTAGTAAAATATTAAGGCAACTGCAAAAAGGTTATCAAATACATAACACACTTTCATTCTTATTAAAATTGACGGTATAAATAGTGTTGATAATTTACGAAAATTTACGATGTATCATTAATGACACAGCCATTAGTCAGTGAGCATTTAAAAGATGTAAATGTCACGTTAATGTCTAACAGTAGACATTAAGACAGTAAGACAGTAAGATCCTTCAATGTACATGAAGAGCTGAACATATATACAAACATATAACTACAAAATTAGCAAAACACTGTAAACAGCTAGATACAATATTAACATGTAGTCAAATATAACTGTAAACATAAAGCTATATCAATTTACAGAACACAGCAATCTAGAAATCAATATTTACAATATTTCAAGATAAGGTAAATAGATAAATACGTAAGCTAACAAACAAATAAATAATTATTGATTGAATAAAGCATAGAAATGTATCACAATGTCAGCTCTGTATTACAGCTTTAAAGAATTTGTCAGAATGCTTGTAATTATTCTTAGGAGTACAGATGATAATTATCAGTCTTGCTCTCAATGCTATCAAATAAAGCATTCAAATTTCTTTCTATATGTGAGATTTAGATTCAGATCATATGAGCCAACCAACATAGTGCGTTTGCGACCAACATCGATCCAGACCAGCCTGCGCATTCGCTGTTCGCTTATCAACCCTTTTACAAGTAGAGAAAATAATAGCGAACAGCATGGATCCTGATCAGACTGCGCGGAGGCGCAGGCTGGTCTGGATCCATGCTGGTCGCAAACGCACTATGTTGGTTTTGTCGTGACGCGGCTCATATCTTATAACTCTTATGTAAATGTAATTGTGTTTCATACGAAGCGGGCGTTTAAGGTAGAAGGTTGATGATAAACTGTTTTTCAAAAGGCATTTAAAACTTTATATTAATAAACTGTACTATATTCTGGACATAAATAAAAAAATTACAAAAGTTTACCATCTTGTTTGAAAGATATTGAGATATTAAAATATTATAAAAAAAATATGAAAAAAAAATCAAAATCTGACCAAACAAAAAGAGGAAAAAAAAGACAAAAATCGGAAAGTGAAAATTGCATATTTTGGGGTTTGAACCAACGCCCTATCAAAACTCAGTGTCCACACTGATCAGAAAGGAGATCTAATTCCTTTGAAACGTCTTTATGTATTAGCATACCTAAAATAGAACCATTTTTTAGAGATGAAACAAGTGGTTAAAAAGTGTATACGATTTTCTGTGCTTAAATTGGTATATAGACTTTACATTATTTCCTAAGTGGAAAGCATGTTACTAACTTATAAGATAAAAAGAAATACAAATATAGAGAATGGGAGAGCACTTTTAAAACGACTAAAACTAAACAAACGTGTTGTAGCACCACACTAAATACCGAATTCCGGAATATACTGGACAAGGCGCGCTAAAATCTCGCCTTTCATCCGCAGAATTGCGAAAATAGTTTGTGATCGTGAATTCTGCAAGCGTCTAGGAGTCACTGCTCCAGCACTGTAATGAGTTAAATTCTACAAGTATTAGCATTTCCAAAAATGATTTGAATCGCCGTACAGCCATGAATAAAGAAATGATATTCCTTTTCTTGCCTAATACCTTTATTGTATGTGGTCAACACAAAAAGCTAACAAAAATACTTGATTTACTCTACCATTCCGTTCAAGTCAAATTAGTTTGACGTGCTAAAGCTGCGGTCTCACTTACTCCCGACAGAGCACATGACCATCCCGGTAAGTTACCGGGATGATCCGGGAGACGATCCGGGGTGAAATTATTGTTGCCGTCACACTAACCCCGGCAGCACTACGGTAGTTCCCAACTAACCATCCCGGATGCGCTCCGGATCATACAGGCAGAGCCCAGGTGAAGCTACGGTTCATGCCGGTGCTTCCCCGGTAGTTCACGGATGACGCCGGAAGAGCCCCGGTTGACCCAGGCAGAGCCCCGGTCGATCCAGGCAGAGCCCCGGCAGAGCCCAGGACGATCCAGACAGAGCCCCGGTAGAACCCCGGTGGATTGAAAACGCGCGAAAATGATAAAATTGATACATAGTTTTTATCTTAAATAATATCTATTGTTCCAGAATAGTAATTCATGATGCTTTTCTGAGAAATCCTTATGCCAGACTGGATAAGGGTTTTAATACAAACAAGTGCAATCATCGCAAATTGTCGTGATTCTTTTGAAATGAACAGGGCTTTGCCGGGGATCTACCGGGATCAACCGTAGCTCCATCGTCATCCTCCGGGGCTCTGCCGGCATTCACCGGGGCTCTACCGGCTATATCATACCCGATTTGTGCCGGCAGAGCTACGGTGCTTCCCCGGTGTAACCCCGGTCGTTCCCGGCAGAGCTAAGGATGAAGCCGGCAAACCTATACTTCCCGGATCATCCCGGACCACCCCGGTGATATTAAATATTTTATTCCGGGGTCGAATGCCGGATGTTCCCGGATGTTCCCGGATCATCCAGGACGTTGTCGGCAGAGTAACGGATGTACCCCGGTTGTTCCCGGTCGTTCCCGGATCGCCCGAACGTCTACCGGGGCTCTGTCGGGATATAAGTGAGACTGTAGCTTAAGCTAGATTCTGAGATATTTTCATGTTCTGGGTCAAAATCTCGAGGAGATATTGCTCATTCAATGTGGCCATACCACGTGACTTTTCGGGTACGGAACACGCCGATTTTTCACCCGATTCAGGTATGTTTTTTATTCATAACTTATTTATTACTCAACCGATTTTGATCAGATAAGGCGCAGAGTACCCGTAATTATATCAGTTATCCACGGTATATCAAAATTCTGAAAACCCCTGAATGGTTTTTGAGAACATTCGAGTACAGTTTTCTTTTCATAGCCTGGGCCGAGGGGAACGGTACACACTCATTTGGCATAACAGGCGATTTCTAGCAAGTCATATGTTTTTTGACACTATTTCATAGAAAAATACATGTTAGTCAGTAGTCACGTGGTATGGCCACATTGTCATTAGAAAAATATATCAATAATTTAACGCGTACTACATGCGCTACTTAATTAGTGCATCAACCGTTTTAAAGGAAGTAATTCAAATTATAGATTTTAAAAAGTGATCCAAATTATAAATTTTTAAAAAAGTGATCAAAATTATTGATTTTAAAACAGCATGCCTCCAAATTCATGATAATTTTCATGAAAATTTAAAGAATCTGTTAAAAAGTAAAATATTGTGAAGTGAACCAAAAAAGTGCAAACGGCAGTGACAATCCTCGTAAATTACCAAAAAAAAAAAAAGAGGCCGGAACATTCATTATGTGTCCTTCACTGTGTTAGTCACGTAGTAGAAATTCCTGCAAAGTCTGTGATTAAGCACACATAAAAGGTAAATTATTATTTGAATCATGAATCTTTTTTACTTTTCTTAAAATCTTAGTACATTTTTTTCAAGTTTGATTTTCTTTAAATAATGGGCTCATCTTGAGACATGCAGCTTTAAGGGAGGTTATCAAAATTAAAGAATGTCCGGCCGCTTAGCTCAATGGGGAGATTAGTAATATGAGCCATGCCATGACAAAACCAACATAATGGGTTTGCGATCAGCATGGATCGAGACCAGCCTGCGCATCCGCGCAGTCTGATCAGGATCCATGCTGTTCGCTTACAGACCCTATAACAAGTAAAGAAACTGATAGCGAACAGCATGGATCCTGATCAGACTGCGCGGATGCGCAGGCTGGTCTGGATCCATGCTGGTCGCAAACGCACTATGTTGGTTTTGTCGTGACGTGGCTCATACCGGGTACGGGGATTCTATCCTCAGGTGAAGCGTAATTTCTCCGTGACAACTGACCTCGAACATTGAGTCTTTGAATGCTGAACCTGAAATCTCGTGGGACTGGTAGACTGGTGGTACTTGCGGAGAAATTGGACATTACTGGTAAGTTATCCAGGAAAGAGATATAGCCAAAAACAGGTATTCGGCGTTTAAATCAAGAAAAAATACCCCAAAACCAAAAAAAAAAAAATAAATAAAAAAAACCCAACAAACAATCATAAAACAACAACAGAACACAATTAAAAAAAACAACACAACAAAACAAAACAACAACAAAAAAATAGATAAAAGTAGATCATAGTCACTTCATACCGATTACTTTCATCCAATATTAAATCATTTCATTACAAGTTTAGGACAAACTTGAGCCAAATATATATTTATAAGGGTACGAGTATATTACATTTTGGAATAACTGAAAAATATCAGTACATACTTTTTAACCGGATCTTTACTAGTATTCCATTTTGACCCGTAAAAGTTCAATTGTTGACCTATGATTTTAAAGTAAGGGTGACCTTTCAGTAAGCAAACTCTTGAATATTGAGATAATACTAAATTATCAAAACATCGGGAAAGATAAAACGAGAATTGAAGTGTTTTGAAAAAAATATATCTCATAAGGTGCTCGAAATCATAGAGACATGTATCTTCGGATGATCTTTTTTTCACATATGAAATAAGTAGAACGTCCAATTTCATGTAAGTAATTTATACGGTTTATTAAGAAATTAAAGATTAGTAAACAATTTTTGCATAGTGATTAGGTGAAGATCAAAGTCCCGACTTCTTCTCGATCACCCAGACCTATACGCGAGTCATACACGATCTCAACTAGACTAACTGGACCTCTGCTCGATCGTTGCCAGATTTCCACCCGACCAGATCGTAATCATCGTAATCGAGTCGTGAATAGTCGTGTACCGAATTGTTTAGAATAAATCTTCAAACATTCCTAGTTCAAATTAGTTCATGATGGAGATTGAGCAGTTGCA